ATATCTTCCATGCTTTTTTCAAGCCCAGCCAGTATCTTTAAAATCGTTATTCTGAACTCTAGTTCTGACATCTTACTAATGTCCATATTGATCAGGTCCCTGGCAGTCGGTACTGCCTCTTGTTCTTTTTTTTTGAGGTGATTTTTCCCATCTTGTCATTTTGTCCAGAGGAGAATAGATGAATGAGAGAACAAAATGCTAACAGGGTCACAACGACCCCAGAAAAATATACACTAAATGAATCAGAAGAGACCTGAAACCAGGGGAAAAGAAAGGGAAAGAAAGAAAAAAGAAAAAAAAAGAAAAAGATAAAAACAAACCAACAGACAAAAAAACAACAGAATATGATCAAATATGATCAGGCTGGTGCATAGATCAGTGCCACACACTAGATTTTTGGTGTGTTAGAAGATGTTTTGGTGTGTTAGAAGAAATTTTAAAGAAAGAAAATTTTAAAGAAAGAAAAACTTATATATGTACAAAAATAAGGGTTAATACGATGAAGGGATGGAATATGACTGTAAAGACTAAAATTATAAAGATTTTATAAAAGGAATTGATAAGAAGTTGGTTGAAAAAAGAAAGAAGAGGATTTAAAATAAAAAAGGGAGAGAATGTGATCAGGCAGGAGACTAAAACAAAGCCATACACTAGAGATTTAGGGTATATTTTGGTCTGTTAGATGAAACTGTATCCCAAAATTTTAAAGAGAGAACAACTTATATATATATATACCAAAAATGAGTTTAACTACTATGAAGAGATAGAATATGACTCTAAAAATGAAAAATAAAAAAGATTTTTAAAAAAGGGATTGATAAGATGTTGGTTGAAAAAGGGAAAAAGAAAAATTAAAAAAAAAGAAAAAGAAAAAAAAGAAAATTTAAAAAATTAACTTTCAATCAGGGGGGAAAAAAGCCATGAATTCTATGTGCTGTATTCCTCTAGCGCTGGAGTTCTGCCATTCTCATTGATCGGTAAACTTGGTCTTGGCGGGCTGTTCTTGCTGATCTTCTGGAGAAGGGGGCCTGTTGCCGCCCTTGCCTGGTCCAGGCTAAGTAATCTGCTCGGGTTTGCTCTTGGGAGCTTTTGTTCCCTGCAAGCTTTCCGTACAGATTTGGAGGATGAGAGTGAAAACTGCGGCCTTCCAATCTCCACCCCAGAGGAGCCGAGAACTCGGGGCCCCGCTCCTCAGTGAACCCCCAGAGAAAAGCAGTCAGTCACTCCCGTCTCCCCGGTCTCCGGCTGCACTCTGTGCTCACCCAGCCTGTGACCGAGCGTTTCTATCTCTGGTACCCAATCCCGTGTGGAGTCTCCAAACCCAGCAGATCCCTGCAGTGCGCTCCCGTGCCGCTCCTCCCAGGGAAGGAAGGGGAGTCTTCCCGGACCTGCCACTTGTTGGGTCCCTGCTGGAGGAGCAGTGGCCTGACTGTGCCATGGATCATGGTTTATGGCAGCCCTGAACTGAGAGCCCACTCCTCGGCTCCGTCTCTGTAGCCGGTTTCCCCGCTGTGATACCTGGGAGCTCAGCCGCACTCAGGCACCCCTGGTTTTCCTGTGACCCTGAGGGCCCTGAGACAGACCACACTGTCCCAGTGGGGGTTCCACCCCCTGCTTAGCCACTGGACGGAGGCCCCCTCCCCCACCATCTATCTTCCCGAATATCACCTCGGATTCACTTCTCCCCATGTCCTACCTTCCAGAAAGTGGTCGCTTTTCTGTTCAGAGAGTTGCTGCTATTCTTTTCTTCGATCTCCTGTTGAGTTCGTAGGTGGTTCAGAATGGTTTGATCCCTATCTAGCTGAATTCCTGAGACCAGTCGAAATTTAGGCCTCCTACTCCTCCGCCATCTTGCTCCCCCCCCACCATCAATTTAAAGTCCAAGACGTACCTCTTAGAATTATAGATGATGTTAGTGGAAACAGTATCAAGATTATATAGCATGACTTCTCCTCAAGGAATCTCCCTTTGTCACCTTAAGGGCTAAGTCAAAAGGCTGTTTGAATGAAGTTGATTGTTATAAGAACGTGAAATTTTTTATCACAAAATCACCACAGAAACTTGTTATGAGCTCTCCCAGGGTATTCTCCAGAAAACCCAGAGGTGAGATGGAATTTCATCTCATCTGGTCCAAATCACCTCAAAAATAAAGACAAACTTGAACTTTTACCTGAACCTGATGCCTTTGAACTGACCACAAATCAGGTGACTACATAACTGCCCTGGACAAGGAACAGGGCAAGGGTGTGGTATGGAGGACTGGGGCTGAAGCTCAGACCTCATGATTCTGTGTCTATGTGGCTACATATATGACTTTGGGCAATTGTTGTCTTTACCACATGGCAAATCATCATCATTTCCCCTAAGGAAGTTGTGATAGAATGCCTGACTGTCTGCTTTATGGGGGGCTCTTTGAAAAGCCCAAATAAGATGTGTTTGAAGTACTTGGCTAGTTGAACAGTTTCACACAAAGAAAGTGGAAATTCTGAATACAAGTTAAGGAGACATCAAACAAAAAGTATACAAAAATCATTCTAAGTTTACAAAAATAATATTAATTAATGAAACTATGAACTTCTAAAGAAAGAATAAGCATAAAGAAACAATTTACAATGTCCTAAAACCAAGGGGAGCCACACCTCCCACTGAGAAACCACACAAAAGAAGTCAGTTTCTGTGGAATCAGCCAAGACAGGGATATCAATAATCAGAACAATGCAAACAATGCTATGTTTTAAATTTGATCCAGATTTAATATAATCATACACAAGAAATGGCTTTACTGCAGTAAAATATATGGGGTCTTACAGATGAAACCTAGATGTTAGGAGCTATGTAATGTTGAACTTTCAGCTACATTTGTCAAGGACTCACCAGAGCCATAAGGTGGGGAATGCAATAATTCTTGTGAAGCATTGCAGCTGCTGAAATGCAGACAGATGGAATTTCTGCACTCTCTAATATAACACAGAAACAATCTCAACAATAGGATAAACACTTATGCCTTGCAAATTTTCTCTCAACCCTAGAGAGAGGATATTGTATAGACTGGCCAGTAAAATCTTAGTGTTTTGGATTCTCATTTTATATCTGGTTTCCTGTGTCCCTTGTAGAAGTCTGTATTTGTAGGTATAGGAATGAAGTTCTGTGCTGAATCTTCTAAGGCTCTTTGAAATATAAATGTGTTTCATATTTTGGCAGTTGAAGTCCACAGATGTCCTTTGTATTGATACTGAAATGGTGGCATGTAATGGAAAACCAGACCTTTGTTGTTGATCTTATGATGATTAGGCATGAAGTGCCATCATAAGAAACTTAACTAAATCAACTAGTACTTACTGTTCAGCAAATCAGAATTCTGATTTCCTTGATAGCATTGGAAAATAATTCATTAATTGCATTTTTTTTTCTTTGCTTTTTGGTGATATATGGTGCTTCACTGAGATTAAGTTGACTTTTCACCATCATCTATTAACTAAGAATCTCCTGAGTGCCCGTCACTCTCCTAGGGCCCAGGAACATGGGAAATGTGAGAGACATGGGCTTCCCTGCCTGGAATTCAGCCTGCACTTTTCAGTATTTCTAATTCTGAGTTAAAATATTCTGTATTTCTTGGTTCCCTTTAGTTGACAGGGTTCATCTCATCAAGGAATACATCGCTCAGGGAGCAGTGACAGTGAGCAGGCAGCTGACCACATATGTGATCACACTAGCTTGTGTGGAGGGACGGAGACAAGAGACACAGAAATCTTCAAGGGCTGTATTTATTTACTGTTATTCTGAATTGAGAACTCATGAAAAAACTAGGTTTTTTTTCAGATTAAAAAAGTAAAACATCATGAAAGCCAGTAGCATGCCCCCACCCTGCACTTTCCCACTGCCTTGCTGAAGCCAGCAGGCGCTCACAGTTCACATATGGGATGCTCCTTAATCACCGGGCTCTGGTCATGAGGGGAGCATTCCTGGGTACCACAGGACTGTACCTACTGGAGAGAGAGTTCTTGGCAGGCTAGATATATGCACCCCTGTGTTTATTGCAGCATTATTTACAATAACCAAAATATGGAAGCAACCGAAGTATCTATCCACAGATGAAATGGATACAAAAGATATGCTGTATATATACAATTGAATATTACTCAGCCGTAAAAAAGAATGAAGTCTTACTATTTGCAACAAGATGGATGGATCTAGAGAGTATAATGCTAAGTGAAATAAGTCAGAGAAAGACAAATACTGTATGACTTTATTCATATGTGGAAACTAAGAAACAAAACAAATGAACAAAGAAAAAAAAGAGAAACAAAAAAACACTCAAATATGAGAAATAAATTGGTGGTTACTAAAAGGGAGGTGGGTGGGGGGATGGGTGAAATAGATGGAGGAGATTAAGAGTACACTTATCGTGATAAACACTGAGTAATGTATAGAATTGTTGGATCACTATATTGTACCTGAAAGTAATATATGTTATATACTTGTAATATATTTCACTACAGGGCAGGGTGTCTCTAGGCTTGGTTCAAGCACACAATTGACTCTTTTTACCATAACTTTTTCTGTGCAACATTGAGTAGCGTTTTAGAAGGAAAGGATTGTGGGGTTGTTTTTTTTGTTGTTGTTGTTTTTTAATGTTTGTTCAACTAATAGCACTTCGTTTTTAAATACTTTGCAGTCATTAAAAAAAAATACTTTTTGTATTTCCCCCCCACATAAGTTGTGCAACTGATAAGGCTCCCCTCTTCTGCTCTGAGCATGGAAACCTCTCACGCAGCAAGCCCACTGGGGAGTTTTCTTTCGCTTTTCTCAGGCCAGCGCTCTTTGTGTCCTTCCCAGGTAATTTCACAATTAATGTCCTCCAGGGCCCAAGACAACCCGGTGAGGGGATTTGGAAACAAATCTTGAATAGCAAGGAGGGTGTTCTTGCTGTTCTTTGTTTCTCCTGACTTTTGAAAGAAAAAGGCTTATTCTGACACGGTCTCCCTGCCCTTCTCTTCCAGCGCTCTGCGGAGGGGGCGAGAGCTTTCTGTGCGCCAGCGGGCTCTGCGTGCCCGGGAAGCTGCAGTGCAATGGGCACAACGACTGTGACGACTGGAGCGACGAAGCGCATTGCAGTAGGCGCGGGGGGCGCGGGGGCGCGGGGGCGCGGGGGCGGTGTCCGGGGCCCCGGCCTGGAAACCGAAACCATTCCGCTGTCAGACCCTGACAACCGCCGGGCGTTGGCGTAGACTACTGTTAGTTTGCCTTCCTGACGGGAGCAAACGCGGGGCAGCCAGTGTGTTTGCGCACCTTTCAAAGGCGCGATTCCGTTAGGAACTCAAGAGCCGGAGGTCGCAGTGGAAACGAGTTTTGCATCAAGTGGCTTAAAACTGGAGGGAGGTTTTTTGTTTATTTTGTTTGGGTGAGGCTTTTGTTTTTGTTTTGAAAGCTTAATGAGTCGAAAGGTCAGCTTTTTTAAACAGGACATGTTCTTTTTTTTTTTTTTTTAAAGGACATTTTCAATAGGCAAATGTTTCACCCGCCTGATCCTTAACATTCCTGAAACAGCAGATGCAAAGCCTCTTGTTTGTTTATGCTTTCTCTAAACCTGGCGATAGTCCATGGCGCTAACTACTTTAAATCCATGGATTGAGAGATTCAGCCATAAACATCGTCAATTGATTTACTATGGATTTGAATAGATGTTTTGATTGAATTGGTCGGTGGTTTGTCTAATGCTGTCTTAATCTGCTTGGGCTGCCATATAAAATACCACAGACCGCACAAGGAGAAACAGGAGAAATTTATTCTCCTATGGTTCTGGAGGCCGGAGAGTCTAAGGTCAAAGTCAACGAGGTTCAGTTTCTGGTGGGAGTTCTTTTCTTGGCTTCTAGGCAGCTTCCATCTTCCTCTGTGCTCACTTGACCTTGTGGGAGGTGGAGGGGGGGAGAGGGTCTCCTCCTCTCCTTATAAGGGTACTATTAGATTAGGGCCCCACCTTTATGGCCTCATTTAACCTTTAGCACCTCCTTACAGGTCCTGTCTCCACATACAGTTATTTGGGGGTTAAGACGTTAACGTACGCATTTTGGGAGGACATAAACATTCTGTCCATAACATATATATATATATATATATATATATATAATATATATAAATATAATATATATAAAATATATTAAGCTTTCAAGTTGTTTTACACTTACGCAACAGATGAGAAGGAAAAATCAGCGTCAATAATGCATTGTAGGATTTGCCTCCAAAGCAGAGCCACATGCAATTGTGTTCTAATTGCTTTTTAATGGTTATATGATGAGCAAAAATTACCATGGGAAAAGCTGTGTTTTACTCCCTGTAGGAGTTGCCAAGACTGTATGAGAGCTCATAATTGTTGACCTTAATTGAAAGGTTCTTATGGTCTGTTTGCCAGGTGAAACACGTCTTCTTCCATGTGAGGGGCTAGAATGCTTATCTATCATAAGTTTTGAAAGGCATTATATTATGGTAATATTTTAGGTCAGTGTTTCCCAAACTGATGTTCCATAGTGCCTGAGCCATGAAAATTGCTTGAGAAAAAAGTAAGTTTGAGAAATGCTATCAAATCTACTTTTTAGAGAGTTGCAATACATATTCACATATTAAAAGTTCTGAGAAATGCTGCAGTTTTATAAAAGACATACTCATTTTGCTTAACTTGGTATTTACTCAAAATTATTTGTTCATATATACTCCCACCTTTATTTATTTATTGTTCATTAATTCTTTTTTTTTTTTTTTCATTTCGTGTAATATGTAGCCTCCTGTGGAATTTCAGATATGCCACCATATCTTGGAAATGTTTTCACTAAGACATTTGTTTTTATAATTTGGAATTCTCTCCTCAGAAAAACCTGTAGCATATGATTTTACATGAAAAACATTTTCATAAGACGTATACTTACATTGGGGAGAATTGCTGTGGACTTAGGAGGGAATTTTTTTTTTTTATTTATTTATTTGCGAGACAGAGAATGAGAGACAGAGAGCATGAGAGGGAGGAGGGTCAGAGGGAGAAGCAGACTCCCCGCCGAGCAGGGAGCCCGATGCGGGACTCGATCCCGGGACTCCAGGATCATGACCTGAGCCGAAGGCAGTCGCTTAACCAACTGAGCCACCCAGGCACCCAGGAGGGAATATTTTTATAGAGCACCCGCAGTAGGGAATTTAAAATGGTTCAATAGAATGATATCCAATTTATGGGAAATGTGGTGGAATCTTTTCCTTATCTCCCACTATGGCCCATGAGAGATTATTAAAGTTTGGTATGTGCCTCTGCCCCAGTGGTTGGGCCAACACTGGCTCCTCATTATGTTCCTTCATTGCACCCAGCGCATCGAGCATTGCACTTTAAACAGTAAGAGATTGCTGCCGCTTGGGTTGAATTGAATTGGAAGGAGTAAATTTTCCTAGTCAGTGACTGAACAAACAAGGTATTACTACTATTCTGTAAGGTATATAGCACGTCCTCGGAGCTGAAGAGTTCATTAAGGAAGATAATGGGCTTTCCTCATGAGCATACTTTTAACACCCATGTGGTTTGGTCAGTTGAGGAAATTTGTCTGTGAAAATGCTTAGTTACATCTTGAAAGCTTCCCGTGCAATTCTTTCCAAACTTACAAGGGCATTCGACTCTGAGTTTTAACATTCAGTGCCTGCGGTATTGTAGTCATTTATTGAGGGTGCCACGCTCCCACTGTCACCACCCTGTGGTGAAGGAATAGTGTAAGTCTGAAATAGGGCATGGATGCAAATCAGAGCGTGAATACAGCCTACATACGCCTGAGGGGAGAAGCAAGTTTTGCTGGGCATTCCTAATGAGAAGCAGAAGGATATGCCAGCTCCCAGGGTGCTGGCAGGTATGGGAGGAGGAGGACTGCCTTCAGAGAAAGGAAGAGAAGGAATTATTATTTGTGGGTCTCCTAATCAACTATGCTAGAAGCATCTATTTACATGATTTGATTTAATTTTTAGCTAGGGATGTATTACCCTTTTTATACAGATGCAGAGCTGAGGTTGAGAGTCATGAATGAATTTGCCAGTGGTTCAGAGTGCAAGAGTTGAAGCTGGTCCTCTATTCTTTGTTTGTTTGTTTCTATTGAAGTGTAATTGACACACAATGTTATATTAGTTTTAGGTGTGCAACACAGTGATTCGACAGTTCTGTACGTTACTCAATGCTTACCACAAGTGTAGTCACCATCTGTCCCCATACAGTATTGTCGACTATATTCCCTATGCTGTACTTTTCATCCCCATAACTTATTTGTCACTGGAAGTTGTACCTCTTACTCCCCTTCACCTATTTCCATCCATCCCCTCACCCCTTCCCCTCTGGCAATCACCAGTTTTTTCTTTGTATGTGAGTCTGTTTCTGCTTCTGTTTCTGTTTGTTTGTTTTGTTTTCTAGATTCCACATATAAATGAAATCATTTGGTATTTGTCCTTCTCTGTCTGACTTATTTCATTTAGCATAATACCCTCAAGGTCCACCCATGTTGTCGCAAATGGCAAGATCTCCTTCTTGTTCATGTAAGTTCAGACTTGGTGAACAGTTACCTTCTGATCATTTTTATGAGAGGAAAATATTTATTTTGGGTGCTCTATGACACTTTGGCAGATAATTGTTTATTACACCGGTAAGCCAAGTATCAGGAAGCCCCACCTGCAGGGATCCTAAATCAGTTGTTGTAGAGTTGGAGCCCAGCTTCCTTTGCAAAACTGCCCAGGTAGTTCTAACATGCAGCCAGGTTTGAGGCCACTGGACTAGAGGGTGTCGGGTGTGTCTTTTGTTACTCACATTCTATGATCTTTTGATTCTACAACCAGCTCTAGAACGGTGTCTGGTACATAGCTGGTGCTTAGCACATGAATAATCGCTGTCACAAAACAGCTTCAAGGAAAATGGTTATCACAAAGAAAAGAGCTGCCACGAAATCCACACATTCTAAGCCACATAAAATCACTGTCAAATACTTTTGGAAATCATTTGCTCGAATTTGGGGTATAATTGGTTGACTTATATTTTAGTATAATTATACTACGTATTATACTAATTATACTACATACTAATTATGCTGTGTTAACTACTTATTCTAAGTACAATTAATTATACTAATTACCACAAAGTGTAGTGATTACTCCTGTAATCTCTTGAGTCGGGCTGCCTGGGTTCCTATCTCTTCTTTACCATTTCCTGCTTCTGTGAACCCGGGCAAGTCTCCATCTCTCTGGGCCTCCGTGTCCTCATCAGTAAAATAAGACAATAACAGTAGCTGTCTCTAGAACTCTTGTGCAGAATAACGAACGTTTGCCTATGTAGCACATAGACCATTGTCTGTCTGACATGCAATAATGCTGAAAAGAGTGCCAGGATTTATGGTGCTGTTGTGGTTATTGCAATCTTATTCACCACATCTCCCCTCCCTTCCACACACCGCCTACCTCACCTCCATCCACCCCTCCCCAGTGCCTCTTACCTCCAAGCTGTAAAGGATGACCACTGGAAGTCATGGGGATAGCTGATAAAGGTCAGGGGATATTTTGCAGAGGAAACAAACACTAAAATAGCCACAATAGCTTTATTTATTTATTTATTTAATAGATTTTTATTTATTTATTTTAGGGGGGAAGGAGCAGAGGGAGAGGGAGGGAGGGAGAAGCAGACTCCCCGCTGAATGTGGAGCCAGATGAGGGACTGGATCTCATGACCCTGAGATCATGACCTGAGCTGAAACCAAGAGTCAGATGCATAACCAACTGAGCCACCCAGGCGCCCCAAATATCTGCAACAGTTTTTAAAATCAGCACCACATGAAGCTATTTTAGAAAGGAGGCAACCCAAACAGCACAAAATAAAAACTGATATTCTAGGTGATGTTTCTGAATCACTAAAAATGACCGCATTTACTATATTGTTTTCACTAAGGCAGGGATGCAAGTAAATACCAGAAATATTTCTATCAAAATAATAAAAAGGAGAATATTACATTCTACACTAAAGGAGGAAGCTTCAGATGTCTGGAAAATTCACTTCTGTTTAGTAGCAATCTGTTACAGGTATCAATAAAACTATTGAATATTCTTGAATTCCTGCTATGTGAAGCATGTTCTAGATACCCAGGTAATATAAAGACTGTTAAGACATGGTTTCTTTCTTCATGAATCTTTGAGCCTAATCAGAGAAATAACATATAAACATGGAGATCATTGAATATGGTACTTCAGAGCAAAAATAATGGAGGAGATGTCACAAAGAAAAATATTGGTATAAACAAAAAGATAGGAGTGGTAAGTCCTTTGAGTATAGATGAGGGCAGGATTATGAGGAGTTATATTGGTGTGGAGAAAGCTGATGGAAAGATGGGACTAAAACTAGGCCGTGGACACAGGTGATGTTTAGAAAATCTAACTCAGTGGTTCAGAAGTGAGGGCAGTTTTGCCCCCCAGGGGACATTTTGTAATGTATGGAGACATACTTGATTGTCACAGTGTGGAGTTTGGACGAGGTGTTACTGGCATTTAGTGGGTAGAGACGAGAGATGCTGTTCAACATCCTACAGTGCACATGACAGTCCTCACAATAAAGAATTACCCACTCCAAATTGTCAGTAGTATTGCTGTGGAGAAGTCTTCCTTCAGGGCTAGAAGTCAATAGTCAAAAGCACCCAGGGAGTCAAGAAGCCCGAGTAACTGTAGTGAGCTAGGCAACTGTGGGCAAACCATGTAACCTCTCTGGTCATCTCAAAATGAGGGCGCCTCTGGGTGGAAATTGAGCCTCCATACTTGAATCTTGAGTTGAGGCAACACAATTATGTTTATAGACTCATAGAGACTGAGCTAAATGAATGAAGCTCTTGATAAAAGGTTTTCTGTTCTTTAGTTGTCTCCTTTAATTTAGTGATAATCTTGAGTGGGGAAAATGTTAATAGTGTAAGATGCCAAACTGAAATGAATATCAACATGCAAGAACTTCAGAAGTAACATTTTGCATCAGGTACTCATTAAGAAGAAAAATCTGTATCTAGAAAAACATCTACCTTAGGTCATGTAAAATTATGCTTATACTGAGCAAGAAAGTCATAGCAAAAAGCTTTTGAAAATTTTGATTTGTTGGCCCTAAATTGTGCTGACATCTCTTTTCAATTCAAATAAACATTTATTCCAATAAAAGGAGGCACTGTGATCTTTGCTATTTGCTATTCATTTCTGCCGTGCAGTGCCTCCAGTTAAGGTTTTGTGTGTTTACAAGTAAGCCATAATAATGGAAAGTTGAATCTGCACCTGTGTGAATAAGGAGTTTTTAAAAATGCTTGAGTCATCTCCACTTATGAAATAAATGTTTATTTTGATGAAATAATTTAATAAATGACAGCATTCATTTAAAAAATATCTACAACAAGGTGTTTTAATATGAATTAGCAAGGTTTTCAGGATGGGCCTCACAGAGGGGTTGCATGAATCTTTAGAAATTTTTGGCGTGTTCCAAGGTTAATGAGATTCTAAAAGGAGTATTTGATTCCCCAGTCTTACCATCAAAAAAAAAAAAAAAGTAAGTGCGCTGCCTAAAAAAAAAAAAAAAAATTAACTCATATGGTTTAAAATATGTCACCCCTCCACCCCACCCCCTCCCCTGGGGAACGCAAATAGTTTTGCACTGATGGTCAGATTGAGGCCCTGGTTATTGCTGATGCTAGCATACTGATTCAAAATTTCCCACAAGAGTAGTTTAGATGAAAAAAAAAAACAAAACAGAAATCAAAAAGACCTTTTGAAACTTCCCAAAGAAATGTGTATATTTTGATGCACAAATTCCTCAACCCTGCTCGGTGGGCGGGAGAACCAATGTTGTAAACTTTCTTGACTCAGGGAGCACTGAGTGCAGCAGTTGCCTGGCGGCAGTGGGGTGCAGGGTGGAGAGTTAGCGCCCTCTGCTGAATGGGAGGAAATAGTACTGTCAAGGTGAAAACTGGGACCTCTACTTAGTTCTTTATTTTCCCTTATGATGGTCATCCTTGTGATTAAAATTATTCAGCCTGGGGGAAATAAAAAATTAAAAGTACTTACAAAGTTCTGCATGTGTATAAGTGTGAGCATATGTGTAGCCCACGTATGTGTATGTTGTTCACATACACACCCTGTTTAATGTAGGCACTGAACAGATGGTCCCTAAGGCTTGTTACACTTTTAAAGTGATGTGATTCTAAAAGTATTTAAGTAGCTTCTTAGAAGAATGCTTCAGGAAATAGAAATTTATAATTCATAAAAGTAACAAGTAAATATTTTGATGTATGTGGCTGACAGTTTAACTGATCAATGCCCAAGAATTTTGATAAAGAATTATTATAGGGTTTGGGACGTTTATAGTGAAGAGGTACCCATCACCAGTCGTGTGAGATGCAGACTTATGCTTGAGGAGAAACAATCAGCTAGAATTTAGGAGACTGGACTATTGATCATTAAACTTAATTTACTTTAAATAAGAGAAAAGATAATACATTAAGAAATCTCATTTCTATTAAATGTAGGCTTCTTTACACATATTAACTTAAAACTTTTTTTTTTTAAAGATTTTATTTATTTATTTGAGAGAGAGAATGAGACAGAGAGAGCACATGAGAGGGGGGAGGGTCAGAGGGAGAAGCAGACTCCCTGCCGAGCAGGGAGCCCGATGCGGGACTCGATCCCAGGACCCTGGGATCATGACCTGAGCCGAAGGCAGTCGCTTAACCAACTGAGCCACCCAGGCGCCCTAACTTAAAACTTTTTTAAAGCTTTATTGAGTACAATATCCATACCATATGTTATCCCATTGATTTTTAGTAAATTTATAGATTTGTATGACCATTATTGCAATCTATTTCTAGAACTTCTTCATCGCCCCTCAAATTTCCCTCCCACTGTTTGTAGGCAGTCCCCACTCCCAACCCTCCAGCCACAGATAACCACTGCTCTGATTTCTGTCTCTGTAAGTATTCTTTTCCCAGGAATTTCATAAATGGATCATACAATGAGTAGTCTTTGTATCTGGTTTCTTTTATTTAGCATAATGGTTTTGAGGTTCATCTATGCTGTCACACATATCAAAAGTGTCATATTTTTAATGGCTGGATAGTATTTCATCATTTCAGTATTTTCTATTTTGATTATTCATTCACCAGCTGGTGAACATTTGGACTGTTTGTAGTCTTTGGCTATTATAAATAATGCTACTATGAACATTTATGTACAAGTCTTTGTGTGGATGTATATTTCCTTTCTCTTGGGTAGCTTTCTAAGGATGGAATTCATAAATTGTATGATAAGGTTATAGTTAACTTTATGAAAAGCCACTGTACTGCTTTCTAAGGTGGCATTATTATTTTACATCCCCACCAACTATATATGAGAGCTTCAGTTTCTCAGAATCCTTGCCAATACTTGGTATTTTTGTTTTTTAAAAATTATTATTATAGCCATCTTAGGGGATATGTAATAGTACCTAATTGTGGTTTTAATTTGCATTTCCTTAATGACTGATTATATTGAGCACCTTTTTAGCTATTTGTATGTCTTCTGTGAATATTTTCTATTCAACTCTTTTGTGTACTTGTAATTGAGTTGTCTTATTATTGAGTGTAGGAGTTCTATGTATACTCTGGATGTAAGTCCTTTATCAGATACATGATTTGCAATACTTATTTCAGTATGAGGTTTGTCTTTTCATTTTCTTAATAGTATCTTTTGAGGCACAAATATATATATTTTTTAAGATTTTATTTATTTATTTGTCAGAGAGAGAGCACAAGCAGGGGGAGTGGCAGGCAGAGGGAGAATTAGGCTCCCTGCTGAGCAAGGAGCCAGATGAGGGACTCGATCCCAAGACCCTGAAATCATGACCTGAGCCGAAGGCAAATGCTCAACCTACTGAGCCACCCAGGCATCCCACAAATATATTTCTTTAATAAAGTCCATTTGTTACTATTTTTTAATTGCTTGTGCTTTTGTTGTTGTAGCTAAGAATTTGTTACATCCAAGAATTCTTCCAAGGTCAAAAAGATTTTTTTCCTATTTTTTTTCTTGAGGCTTTATAATTTTAGCTCTTACACTGAAGTCTGTGATCCACTTTGAGATAATCTTTTGTAAGTTTTGAGGTAAAAGCCAGACTTTACAATTGTCCCAACACCATTTGTTGAAGAGTATTATTTTTCCATTGAATTGTGTTGGCATCTTACACATATTCATTTACATTACACACATTTATTAATCTCTTCCCCAAAACCCTATTAAGTAATTGACCTTATCCTAATTTCATAAATCAATTTGAAGATTCATAGATTTTAACTAATACACCTAAGTTCCCACAGCTGGTAGATGGCAGAACCAGGAGACCCAAGTATTTGGTTTACCCAAGTACAAGAAATATCTTACTAAAATTTCATCACATGTTGCTTACTTCAATATAAAACCTTAAGCTCCTTGAGGTCAGATATCACTTAGTCTTATCTTGCCACTGTAATCTAGTCCAGTATTGCTTGAGGGTCCTGTTATGAAACACTCAAGTGACTTAAGTGATTTTGTGTGAAAATAACCTTATCATCTCAATAATTTTTTCTCTCAGTTATGTTTGTGCTTATCATTGATAAAACCAGACTTTTATTTTAAAATAACTGCTCACCTTCTATTAAAAGTCATTCATTCTGTATGAACTTGAACTTCATTAGGAACTATGGTGAGTTGAGAGTGTCTGTGCTCATAGTTGACTATAAAGGAGCTTTCGGGTAACATAAAGTGGATCTCAGATAAAGACTTTCAGACAGTGATAGAAGTATTGGCTTGGAAGCCAGAGGGTCCTAGTCCTGGCTCTGCAGTCACTTGTTATGTGACCTTGAGCAAGACCTTGGATCTCTCTGTACCACAGTCTCCTCACTGGTACAACAGTAGATGTGGACCTGGTTACCATTATGATTTGCCTCCCAGGATATGCTTTTGTTAAATGAAGTACTGTTTTAACACCCTGTTCTGCTCTGATGACACATCAGTGGCTTCTCTTATGTACAGATTGCAGTGAGAATATGTTCCACTGTCACACGGGCAAGTGCCTTAATTACAGCCTTGTGTGTGATGGATACGATGACTGCGGGGACCTGAGTGATGAGCAGAACTGTGGTAAGTAGCATTGTCTCCCTAAGGTTTTCATTGAAAGTTACAGAAACGTGTAACCCAGAACCCATAGCCCATTGTTTGTTAATGGGATTAGAAGATTAAATGACAAGATGGTTGGTTTCTTAATTTTTAGAAAGAGGAGGTTTCTTCAATTACTAATCTCAGTCATGTCTTATGTGTAAATGTAATATTTCTTATATAAAGTCATAATAAGGAAGTGCTTAAGAAGGAGAGTGGAAAGATGGGTAACAGTTGTTAATATGTTAGTAATATTTTCTCCTTGAGAGTGTTCTACTTCTTCTTTGGTTAGAACCAGTGGCTCATGTTTAGATTTTGAGCTCTTGAGCAAAACTTTGCAGACACATATATTGTTGTGTGTCTGATGCCCTTATTATATGCAACCAAAGACCCCTCCTTTAGTTGATTGCCAAGCACGGCAGGGACAACTTCAGTAGAACTGACACCTAGGGTTAGGACAAGCACATTTATTTTATGTACACAATCTGATCTTATCTTTTAAAAAATGAACTTATTTACTAGTTACACGTTCGTACCTATAAACATCCTAATTCCCCACCCCAGACCCTGGTGACTACTATTCTACTCCCTGTTTTTACAAATTTGGCTTTTTAAGATTCCACATATAAATGCTATCACACAGTATTTGTCTTTCTCTTTGACTTATCTCACTTAGCATAAACACACACACTGTTCTATGTCCATTATATCTTTTTTTTTTAAAGATTTTATTTTATTTATTTGACAGAGAGAGACACAGTGAGAGAGGGAACTCAAGCAGGGGGCAGGGAGAGAGGGAGAAGAAGGCTTCCCGCGCACATTATATCTTAATAAATAAAAGAATGAACCTACTATTTAAAGAGCTGTGTTCAGTTGTGAATGGCATCTCATGAATTAAAAAGCAGCAAAATTCCTTTTGCTTATTTACCTTTTTGACTTTGTGGTTACCTTTAGAATTTTTAGGTAGTATATTACTGCGTGACATGAGGACTTTGTAATATGAACAACAAGGCAAGCTAAGATGAGGAGGTGCCCTGGAAAAAGGGTGTGAAATAATATTTAGCAATTAGAGAATATTGAATTGGATGTTGGGGAAGAATCAGAGTAATGCCTTGGAGTGGCAAGTCTCAGAAATGGCATACTGGGACACTAGCTTGTTTCTAGAAGCAGCTGTCCAACTACCTTTCACTGTATCCATAAAAATCTTGGAAATATGTATATGTACAAATCATCCCAGAAGTTACTAGGTAGATACGGATTGCCTTCTGGGACTGAATAATTGTGGGACAAAGAGTGAGAGGCCATTTTAATTTTATACATCACAGACCTTCTAGTTGGAAGAGGCCTTATAGATGACCTAATCCAAGCCCTCCTTTTACCAGTGAGATCACTGGAGAAAAGAGCGGGGGTGGGGGGGAATGTGGGGAACGGGGTGGAAGGCTTGGTAGTTGGACAGGTCAGTGGAGAGGGCCAGGGTATAGTTACTGTGTGATAAAGAATGGTCTTACCACTCAACATATTTCCTCTGAAGATAGTAGGATATCACAAAGTGCGCTCTCAGGGTGATTTTGCCCTGTGAAATGGTAATAATTACAACTTTCCCTGAGACCAGTCTCTGCCCCAGCTGCCCATCATTAGCAGGCTGAGCATGTGCTGGTTCTTCTGGTTTCTGCACAGGCATCCCATCTATTGTCTTTCTTCTTTTCTCTGCACTCCCATCTTCCATATACCTTACCTAATTGTTCCAATGTGCCTTCTCAGATTCAGGTCACTCTGTGGGTCTGTCAGTGACAGTGGCACTATTCATGGATACTCGTAATAGTTCCCCAGTATTGAATCTGTCATCCATGAATCCACACATATCTTTTATTTATTCATCTTTTTTTTTTTAATTTAAAAGGCGAAAGATTTATGCGATCTGAAGAGAAACCAGAGTATTTTATTTTTTTTAATTTAGATTCAATTAACCAACATAGAGTACATCATTAGTTTCAGATGTAGTGTTCAGTAATTCATCAGTTGCATATAACACCCAGTGCTCATCACATCAAGTGCCCTCCTTAATGCCCATCACCCAGTTACCCCTCCCCCCCAGCAACCCTCAGTTTGTTTCATAGAGTTAAGAGCCTCTCATGGTTGTCTCCCTCTCTGATGACTTCCCATTCAGTTTTCCCTCCCTTCCACTATGATCCTCTGTGCTGTTTCTTATATTCCACATATGAGTGAAACTATGGAATTGTCTTTCTCTGATTGACTTATTTCGCTCAGTATAATACCCTCCAGTTCCATCCACATCGATGTAAATGGTAAGTATTCATCCCTTCTGATGGCTGAGATTGAATATTTATATATATATATATATATATATATATACCACATCTTTATCCATTCATCTATTGTTGAACATCTCAGCTCTTTCCACAATTTGACTATTCACACATATCTTTTTTTAAGATTTTATTCATTTATTTATTTGACACAGAGAGACACAGTGAGAGAGGGAACACAAGCAGGGGGAGTGGGAGAGGGAGAAGAAAGCTTTCCGCGGAGCAGGGAGCCTGATGCGGGGCTCAATCCCAGGACCCTGGGATCACGACCCGAGCCGAAGGCAGACGCCTAACGACTGAGTCACCCAGGCGCCCCCACACATATCTTTTAAAGGGTTATTTATATTAAAGTTATTCCACATCTCATGGTAAAGAATCCTATAGATTCTATTCTCTGTAAGAAGAAACATCACTTAATTCCCCCTTTTATCCAGGAATGTGTAGTTTGGGGGAGAGGTTAAATCCAGGCTAAAAAGAATCATGAAAAAAAAATATATAAGTATCCTGCATTTCTCATCCAGCAGTTTTTCCCAATATGAGTGTATATATTAAGATGGTTTGATAGAAAGCCTGAGCTTAGAGTCAGGAAAGATGACTGGAGATAGCTGCCTTCCTAATTTACTATAGAGAGGTAGGTTATAATTCTTAGAAACGTGATAGAGTTGTTGCAAATACATCTAATCAGCTATCTACATTGTGAAACCTACATCACAGTTTTGTTTATTTTAGCCAGTGTGAAAATCAAACGTTTTTCATAGGGAAAGAAAACAACAACTAAACAAAACAAAAAACAGGAACAAACTATAGGTCCTGAGAAAGCTGGCCAGTCATTACTCATCTGAAAAACAGACAGGTCTTACCCCATAGAGATGGTGGCCAGTGGGTCACATGCTTGTGCAGGAGGTGGCATTTTAACTGTTCCAGATCCATCATAGAAAAAGTATTGAGGGTATTGGAACAGTTGGAACAGACTCTCTTCAGCTGGAGCTATGAGTCATTCAGTTCTAAGTGTTTGTCATGCTGGTTCTCCGCATCCCTATGAGTTTCTGTTTTCTCCAGATTGCAATCCCACAAAGGAGCATCGCTGTGGAGATGGGCGCTGCATCGCAATAGAGTGGGTGTGTGATGGTGACCATGACTGTGTGGATAAGTCTGATGAGGTCAATTGCTGTGAGTTCCCTGATGATTTCCATTTACTTATTTTTTCATTTCTGCCTGGTTAGACAAATACGGTATCCAGCTTCAAATGGAAGATTGTTATACTTTGGCTGTAATCTATAAAGATAATAATTAAGTGGTGTGATGACAAATGTCGTGTATCTGGCTTCCACATGTCTCTCCCCACAACTCCAAGCTTAATTTGGCTGCTCTGGCCAAGCAGGTGTCTATTTTCTTTGTCACTGGCCACACATCTGTGACTTTGTCAAAGGGGATGTTCTTCCCAAAGATTGGGGGACTTTTTTTCTGCTCTATATGAGCAGTTAGGCTTCCTTGCAGGAGCCTCCATACATGTTCTCAGGTACCATTTGTGGGAGAATATGGAGAGAATTGCCAGAGAGAAAAAAACCTTCGTAGCTCATAGAGTTATATAGAATGTACAATAATAATTATAACTTTACGGGCTGTTGTGTTTCTGGGTGAGTAAACAGCCTTGAATCTTGAAGCTAGGTGTTAAAAGAGCAATATTGACCTGAGTTAAAATGATACATTTTATGCATGTTCAAACTAATTCAAGTTTTTATTCCATCTTTTGCTAAGGGTTAACAAAGTTGATACATATGAGATTGAATATTTAACTTGCCTATAATATGAGGCAAAAATTGAAATGTGGGTTGCATGATTTTTATTTTGACATAAGAGAAGTCATCTAAATTAATTAGCAAGTGCAATGCCCAACTCTCCCCTTCCTGAATTGAGTTGGAACTGGAAATATCACTTGAGTCCTTGTTGGTGGACATAGTGGAATGGAGTGGACTATATCTTGGTGCATCTTGGGAAAGCAAGGACATGGTGCTCAAGTATAATGATTCTGGCGTTGAGCCTTGGTTCAAGCATAAGGAGATTTAATATTAGGCAGTAACAGTGAAGGCTGAGGCCACAGGATACATGGGTTTCTGATGCTCTAAAGGACAATAGTGATAAAATTTAGACAACCTTCAGGAATGGAAGGTGAGTGGCCACTAGACCACCCCTTTCAAATGTCAGGTGCCATAAGCAAGTTTTGAAATAAGGTGTTTATTGGGTGCAGGGTATTAAGCAAGTTCTTTCACATAGGTCATTTCCTTGGCCCTTTAGATTGGGTTGGAATAAAATGAAATGTTTGGGCTTAGAGTCAGAGAAGCTTGCCTTCACATTCTGGCACCAGCTTTTAACAGCCTTGTGACTTCGAGACAGTCGCTAAACTCTCTAGAGTTTAACTTCCTTATTCTAAACAAGGTTGATAATACCTCTTTTGCAAATCCGTTATGAGGATTTGAGATTCGATACATAACACTCCCAGCACAGTTATCACCATGTAGCAAGCCTTTAGTAAATCGTAGTTTTTATATGCACAGTAAAGCTGCAGATCATTAACATCATTGACACAATTTCTTACCCCACCCTATCAAGAAAAAGTTAATTCCTTAGTAAGTGCTATTTAATAAGGCAGGGGAGAGTCCGGAAAGAAAACTTTCCATCCCCAAAACCCTTGGGATGAAACACATTGATGGCACACTCCTTCACCTCTGCAGACCACGCAGATATTCCGAACACTTCCTTTCTCGGTGATGCCAGATAAGCGGGCATCTCGATAGGCTCTACAGACGGCGAGAAGGACCAGACAGTGCAATGACTGTCGGACTGTTGTTCTGGCCTTCCGCAGCCTGCCACAGCCAAGGTCTGGCCGAGTGCCGGAGCGGACAGTGTATCCCCAGCACCTTCCAGTGTGACGGGGACGAGGACTGCAGGGACGGCACTGACGAGGAGAATTGCAGCCAGAGTAAGTGTGCGTCCCCTGCCCCGCGCATTCCTGCCTGTCGGGCCTTTCCTGAGGAACAGAGCAAAACCTTGGCGGTTACCTAATGCTCAGTGCGATCCCCCCATACCTCGGTCCAGATTTCCTGGCACAGCGCTCCTCACAGCACTGGCCGGCCCTGAAACCCCTTCTCCTGGTGAATAGAATGCTCGAGCATCGTACACTGCACCATCATTCCTAAGGGGAGACAGTGGAGGTTGAACACTTACACAGCGTGGGAGATTCAGTTAACGGTTTTGGGGAAAGTCAACACGATGATAAAGGAAAAGCTGAGTACGTAGTATTCCGTTAAATTAGATTAGGTTCCAATTAGGAGGAATTGGCTTCTGAAATTAAATGTGAAAGCCTCCTAAAATAACCGTGTTCAGAGAAGCACTTTCTTTTTCTTTTTTAAAAGATTTTATTTATTTATTTGAGAGAGAGAATGAGAGCACGGGAAGGGGAGGGTCAGAGGGAGAAGCAGACTCCCCACTGAGCAGGGAGCCCGATGTGGGACTCAATCCCAGGACTCTCAGATCATGACGTGAGCCGAAGGCAGACGCTTAACTGACTGAGCCACCCAGGCGCTCCAGTGTCATCTTATTTTTTATTTCAAGTTTTTATTTAAATTCTAGTTAGTTCACATATAGTGTAATATCGGTTTCAGGAGTAGAGTTTGGTGATTCATCACAAAGAAGCAGTTCATGTCTCACGTGATGGGGCAGTATAGTCAGCTCCACCTGCAAAGGGTCACTGCTGTCATCTGTGACCCTCGAAAAGAAGAAGTAAGTCAAATACGTTGGCTTTTAAACTGCCGTTCCGCACTGATTGTTTCAAGCCCCACTTTGAGTCGAAGCATCTCTCAGCACAGGGCTGCTAGGAATACCCCTTGACTTAAAAATCACCGCATTTGTTTATCCGTGACCTTGCCACTCACCAGCACAGACTAGTCATTAAGAAGGTGGCCTTGGGAGCCCAGCTACCCGGGTTCAGGCACCAGCTCCGCTAAGCTCTGCTACCGACTATCTCATTCAGTTGAGGCTGGTAACTCAACTCCGTTGTGTCTCGGGTTCTGTGTCTGCAAACTCGGAGTCATAACTGCCTCACAGAGTTGGCCCATGGTGAGCACTCCGTGAATGTGAGCTCTTGTTACATGGCTGTTGTGTTAAAACATGTCTTGGGCTGGGCATTTCGCAAATCGGCCAGTGAGATTGGTCACCTGTAGCCAAATTAGTTTTGTCTTAATAAACACTGATCACTAGAATTGCTTTAGTGAAAAAGCATTCCAGACCTAAAGGGAGACACTTTTCATCACAGATTTAATACCTATAACATCAGATAAAAGGGTGCTTCGTTTTAACCAGTTTTAAAATTCAGAAGCAGAGTCTTTTCTAGCCATGAGTTATTATGTGCATACCAGCCAAGCACCTCCCTTTGGATCAAATTGTTCTTTCTTTCTCCATAATTCATCTCTGTTTGAAATAATCTTGGATTCTTCACTATGCAATGGCAAGATTCATAAAGTATTTCCCTACATATGTGAGATGCAAGAAAGTCATATGATAAAATGGATCAAAAGTCAAATTTTATCATCTTTATATTACTTAATCTAATGAATTCAACTCAATAAATGCATGTCATGGTGCTCATAGGTGGTTAACCACTGGGGATTTAGTGGCAAGTAAAGCAGCTCATGGAGCTTGCAGGCTCCTGGGGAAGATTGGCATGATACAAATAATTGTGCAAGTCAGTGTCTCACTCCATGGACTGACATAGGCCATGAGGGAAAATTCAGGGAACCACATGCCATATATGGAATGAATGGCCTGGTACAGGGCCTCAGGGAAGGTTCCTTGAGGAAGAGATGTTGGAGCTAAGATCTAAAGAATGAGTGGAGTTGACTTAATGAAGGAAAATGAGACTGGAAAAAGTTTTTCAGACCCAGGGACCTGCTTGGTCAAAGGTCCCAGGGAGGAAAGGAGCAAGGCATATGGAGGGTTTTGGGAGAAGGCCACTATGATTAAATCTAGGAGTGAAAGGGAGGGTACGACTTCAGAATATTGTCACCAGTGAGCCCAGGCTGGCTCTGTTAGAGAGGTTGGGGAGGGAAGTAGGAGCCACCCAGGACTTTGGGCCCTACTCAGGATTCAGGCCTTTACAGCCCTCAGGCTCTGCTCTCAGCCTTCCTGTCTAGCCTCCCTGAGGCTCTAGTGAGGCCAACCTGTGGCTCTTTCCACTCCAGCCTTTGCATATTCTGTTGTCTGCTTGGGGCACCCATTCTACCTTCTTATGCCAACTCTACCCGCCTGCCTTAAGAACTCCTTCAAGAAGTTTTCCCTTTATTGTCCTAGTCCGCTTCTGTTGCCTTACAGACAGCTTCAGCAGTTACTGTAATCACACAGCATGGTAAGGTTCTCTGTTCATGGCCATCCCCCTAGTTAGAGTATAAGCCATTTCACTTCTTTTATCTTTTAATGCTTCATTGTCTATCTTGTCACATAAGCTTGTCACACAGCAGACACTCAATATCTGCTGAAATAATGAATGCATGTTGTCTTATTAAAGTTAAATTTAAGAGACTAGGGCGCCTGGGTGGCTCAGTCGGTTAAGCGACTGCCTTCGGCTCAGGTCATGATCCTGGAGTCCCGGGATCGAGTCCCGCATCGGGCTCCCTGCTCGGTGGGGAGTCTGCTTCTCCCTCTGACCCTCCTCCCTCTCATGCTCTCTGTCTCTCATTCTCTCTCTCAAATAAATAAATAAAATCTTTAAAAAAAAAAAAATTTTAAGAGACTAAACTCATGGAAATGAGCCTGGCTTACCTTTTGCAATGATGGTTCGACTCTGATGATATTAAAAAAAAAAAGGAGTGGCATCTCTTCTCTTCAAGGCTATGATGTGTGCTTTGCACATTAATGGAAAGAGCCCAGTATAATGAACATTATCTTATTATAGATAACATTATAGATAAGAATGATTATATGCATACACATACTGTTGTTTATTCTTAAAAGTGTCTTGCAAGATTCTCTAGATTCCCGATGACATGTCTGAAAGTAATTGACTATAATGGGCAAGAGCCAGAAAGAGAACTGGCAGTAATTTATTACCTTTTCCATTTAACCTACAAATGACCAGGGAATCAATGGGAAAAGCAGCTTCCTCTCTACATACCTTAAGGAAAAGCCATTAGGCTGGCGCCACTGCTCTCATTCATTTGGAAACAAGAAACCCAATTCTCAGGTCATCACAGCTAGGCCAGTGATACTTTCCAAGGACATACAGAAAATATGGATCGCAGCTGCACAAGACTTGCACCATGACAGAGTATCCTCACCGTACTGGTGTTGATGCCATATTTATTTTTAGGGAAAGCATTTTCCTTATGGGGAAGACTAGAGTTGGGTGCAAGTGAGTCCTTAAAATAATATTTGATATCCAAGAGTTCAAGATCATTATGTTGACCTTTCTCTCCAATCACTTACATTTTATTTTGCAATCAAGCTTATTCACCCAGGCAAACAAAAAACACTTTCTTCCCCCATGAAAAGCAACAAGATCCCGTTTTGTAGATAAGTTGCCTCTTATTTTTTTGTTCCTACAGAATCCTTCTGGAATAACCGTGTTGTATTTAGTCACCAGGAAAATTAACCCAGAAAGTTACATATTTAACATGTGTTCAATATTTTTGGAGAAATTGGAAGGGAATTAAAGTTATGTCATTCCTCAGCTCCCCCAGACGTCCTTGATACTTCCAATCCTAGTGTAAGGAATTTACAGATGATGAAAGCAAATGTGCCTTTCCCCTCTCTGTAGGTCAGACTCCATGTCAAGAAGGCGACCAAAGATGCCTCTACAATTCCTGCCTTGATTCATGTGGTGGTAACTCCCTGTGTGACCCGAACCACAGTCTGAATAACTGTAGTAAGTACAGCAGCTGACAAGTGCAATCACCGTGTCAGGATATGCATCTTGCTTTTTTCTTTTGAATTGACATGAAAATGCTGAAGTCTGGAATCCCTCCAAATGTGTGTGTGTGTGTGTGTGTGTGTGTATACATATACATACATATTTCTTTTTTCTTTTTTAAAGGTTGCATATGGTAGCAGAAAAGAAACAAAATGGTCTTACTTGACTTAAATCAGAAACAAATGTGTCATTGTCAATGGCCTATAAATCCAAATTGCTTAATATCATTACCATTACTTTGAGTTCAGCATCAGCTCCTATATGTTACTTTCTTGGCTCCATCTGCAGGCAGATGCTATCTTTCTTCCCTTTTAAAGCAGAGCTTTGAAAATGGAAACTTTATCCAAGAAGCAAATACGAAGTTCATCTAAACAGTGCATAAAGCTGTGGCGATCTGTTCTCCTAATAACAATTATTCTCACCTTTGCAGGAACTTTGCTGACCTAGAATGATCTTGCAGCTGTTACGTAAATTTGTCTAGGTGACAAATGGTGTAAACTATTGGCTCACTCTAAATTACTTTCAGGAGGGGGAATTCCTGGGAGGAGAGAATGGACAGGAATAGCAGAGGGTTCTATAGGTTCTCGTGGGAAATTGAAAATGAATCAGAAAGCCCCGAAAGACTCTGATTTCTAGTAATGAGTTCTTATTTGTAGGCTCCGCTTTCATATTCGGCTCACTTCTTTCACTTTTTATAATTAATGTTTGGCCTCCTCTTCCGCTTGGGGCTTGAGATTTAGAAGCAGGTCTGTCAGCTTTCAGTTGGCAAGAAAGTATGAAGGTATCTCCCAGTTGAAAGGCTGAAGGGTTCAGGTCCTAGTCTTACTCAGTGATCTTTCTGCATCACTGTAGGGCTTATAGGGGCTGCTCCTGTAGCCCCAGAGGTGTGAGGGAAGCAGCCAGTGAAAAACCCAGAGAGGACTTTTTGTTTATTTTCACGAGCACTTAATAACTGTTTGGCTAGGGCGCCTGGGTGGCTCAGTTGGTTAAGCGACTGCCTTCGGCTCAGGTCATGATCCTGGAGTCCCTGGATCGGGTCCCGCATCGGGCTCCCTGCTCGGCAGGGAGCCTGCTTCTCCCTCTGACCCTCCTCCCTCTCATGCTCTCTGTCTCTCATTCTCTCTCTCTCAAATAAATAAATTTTAAAAATCTTTTAAAAAAAAAATAACTGTTTGGCTAAAAGCGTGATACCCAGCCCTTTTCCACTTCTATATGAGAGAACAGTTGAGAGAGATGTTAACTGACCATTAAGACATACTGCCATTTTATTTTACTCACTCTAAACTGAATTAAATATGTGTGTATGTATGCATGCATGACTATGCATATATATATGTATATGTATACGTATATGTATATGTATATGTTCTGGGTCTATTGTTTCACTTTGCTTTATCCCCCAATCTGCTCTGGAACTTTTTCAGAAGCCTTTCTTTACTTCACCTTAAACTTGACATGAGCAATTTTGAATGGTGACAGTGTCATCTCAAAGATATGTGTTTATTATTAAAGTTTCGGGGATTGTCTGACAGGGAATGGCACTTAGTGTTAGATTAAAAAAAAAAAAGTTGAAAGGGCAGTGTTGGCCTGTGTCAGATTTGGGTGAGGAGTATTGAGTGTATGTTGTCCTATTTTCTCCATTTTTGAAATATGTCAAAATTTGACATTTAAAAATACGTTACACCGGTCAACAAGAGAAGTGGAAAGAAGGACACCAGATGACTCTGATTCATAGTCAACCGGTATTGATAGCATGCATAACAACGTTCCAGGCTCTGGGATGGCCACTGGGCACTTTAATGGCGAAGAAGGGAGACATGATTTCTGCCTTCCTCGAGATAACTTTTCAGCGTGGGAGAACACACTGCCATCTTTTCACTCATGTATACCACATTCGTTTTCTCTTCATGTTCTTTCAATACACTCGAAACAGTGTCCCTAGCATCTCACTGTCCCTTCAGCTCCTTCTTTCACCACAGGTGTTCTTGCCAGGTTCTTTCCATATATATTCAGCAGACATCTGATCATCCCTCTTCTGATTGCCAGGCACTGGGCTAGTCACTGGTCCCTCATTCCTTCTGTGTTATTAAAAATACCTTCCAATGGAAAGTAAAGATGTGTCTTCTCATCTTTCAAAGAGCTTCACGATGGTATGTGCGTACTTGGTTCTCTGTAAAGTTGGACCAGTAGCATCTTGAAGATCCTTACCACTGGAGAGACCATGCCTACTTAGATTCTGAGACTCAGCTACGCAGCACTGTCTTTGTCTGGCTCCATGCTAATAAAAATATGAGTTTGAAGAGTGTGGATATTCTGTCTGATGGAGTCAGCCTCTTACTGGAGTTGCTGGGATTCTAGTCCTTGAAGACATTTGTTCTTGCTATCCCATAAAATGTTATGGGTCCCTGAAGATATAGAGCAGGACCCAAGCATCAGTATTTTTTACATTTCCAGGGGACTCCAATGTGCAGCCAAGGTTGAAAATTATTACTTCAGTGGTTTGTTCATGACTAAGCTGTAAGGGTATGTGACATCCCTGAAACTGAATGTGAAAAAGTCTTTATAGTTTTCAAAGTTTTCAGTGGAGAAGTCCATGGCTTATCTCAGATTCCCAGAAATGCCTATAGTTGTTTTTTTTTTTAACCTAAAAACCACATCTTTGATGACATTGTGTACTGATAGGCTTGAAGCATCACGGTATCCCCACATCCACTCATTACCCAGGATCTTTAACATCCTTGTGCCCTGCTGGGAGGCAAAATACAGACATATCCTTGCCCTAAGGGGTTTGTGTAGGAATATTATTTCCCCTCACTCTGGTGTGGGGGACTAATCTATCACTCCCACATTGTAGTGTGCAGTCCAGACAACTGGGGAACCCTGTGGAAAGAGCAGTTCCTGGGCATGTGTCTCCCCACCGCTCTGTGTCCATGACCACCATGGCTGTAGGAAGCCAGCTACCACTGTCATGCCCCAGGGACTCTCACGTTCCTCACAGTGTTCCATCGACTCTTCGTTCTACATGTTTACTCATGGCTTTCTTTTTCTCCAGCATTGAGGAAGCAATGAGCAGCTTTGTTCTTTGAATAATTTCCTACCAACCTCTCAATTTACTGCCTTCTCCTTGCAGTCTCTAGTTGGAAGGAGCAAATAGTATAGCAGTGTGGTAAAGAAGCCAAACACCATAATGGTTAAGGACTTCAGTCCTGGGAGCAAATGGGAGATGAGAGGAATGATCTCTTTCTAAAAGCATTCCCAACAAATGAGTGAAAAATAAATGATTAAGTTAGAATATTTCCATTTGGTAACCAGTTGTTTCCATTTGGTAACATGCATTGGTGAATTAATGGGTCAAGGCATTGAGCATCTACAGCTGCTCACATCCCAAAAAGAAAGAAATCAGATATACTTTGCCTTCTGATGGAAGAACACCATAGCACCCATAGTCCTCCCTAAGGGATGAAACTTAATCAACTCTCTGCATTCAGCTGCCCATGTTCAGGAAGTAGGCAGGGGAATATATTTAACTTCACCAGGAATGGGTAGTCAGCAAAACTCAAACTTGGGCACACTCTACAGTCAAATCCCTGGGTTCTTCAATAGCTAAATTCGAATTAAAAATAAAAGGATGGAGGGGGAAACCCAGATTAAGAGATTTAGAAGACAAAACAAGTTTTAAAAAATGGGCAAGATTAACTATAGTATTCAGGGTGCAGTGCGCACTTAGGTAATACAACTATAAAGCAGAGCAAGGAGGTGATAACTATGAAACTCAGTAGTTACTCTGGGGAGAAAGGAGAAAGTTGGTAGAAGACAGGATAAATGGAGGGCCATCTGGGATGTCTGGCAAAGTTCAACTTCTTGATCTTGATGGTAGGTACAAGGGTGTTCACCATATAAAACTCATGAAACTACTAAAAATAATAAAGAGAAATATAGAATTTGAGGCAAAGATGAATCTTAGAATATTGTATATGCCAGTGGATTTGAAAGTGACATTTTCTCATGTAAGTAACTATCATTTAATATGTGATTTCCAATGGCTTCAGAGTATTGCATCATGGCAAGCATGTAACATCATTTAGTTAACAATCCCATCTTTAGGTTGAATTTAACAAACATGGTTTCAGACTTTGAAAGGTGGGATATCATTAAGACTCCATCAGGATCAATTTTTTCAACAGTATTTATTAAACCTCGTCTGTGTTCTGGACCATGTGTTAATAAGCAGGGCATCAAAACGCAGTGAAAACAGTAAACAGCCTCATGTTTGTAACACGACTGCCCTCTAGTGGCTATCGTAAATCAAGTTTGTGAGCTAGTGAGTAAAAAAAGCTTATTGATACTGTAAATCATAGAATTTGAGGTTGATAGATATTTGAGAGTTTATCTTGCTTAACAATCTGTGAAGAATGCCTTATGAAGGAATTAAACACAAGATTCAATCACCCTTACCACATTCAGTAGCGATCTCCAGAATAATATATGAACATAACTTAATCCTTTCATCTTCCTTGGCTGTGAAACACTGAAAGCTTTTATCTCATCCCAAATCAAAAGAGATATAGTTCCCACATATCAAAGAGAAAAAATACCCATGTGATAGGTCTACTTATCATCTAAATAAAATGTACCAATAAACATTTAAAACTTGGTAGGGTGGTAGAGGAAGAGATAGAAAGGAAAGGCATATACAAGAAAAAAAACTATTGCATCAAAAATCTGTGTGAATTATCCCATTTTTTGGTAAAATTATATTAAAGAAATTAGGAAAAATATAGTTAGAGTGGCATCTACTGACTTATAAGTCGGGCATGATGAATAATTAAGCAACAAAAGCAAATTGAGGAATACTAGGAATGGTAAGAGTCTACTTTGGCAGAAGCAAGCAAACACAAATCTGTCTATGTGTGTAGACGCTTGTATGTGTAGATATGAGCCAGTGAAAGGCAGGGAAGGATTCAAACCCAGTCTGTTGGCTTTGAGCATAGGTAAGAGAAGAGGGCAGGGAGGTGATAAACTTTTTCTTTAGCATCTTGCATTGTTTTTATTGTTATGAGGAATAGGCATTTTTTAATAATATGAAATCAAAAGATTTAAATGTTAAATGTTCACAAATCAATGGACTGAATCAGCCCCACACTGCCTCTGTGTCTTTCTCTTCTCTCCACCCTGTACTCATTGTCAGGATTATGCCAACTTGACAATGTTACGCCTTTTCCAGTAAACGGAGACTGTAATTACACTTTGTCCAGAGGCTTCTTTTTTTTTCTTTTTCTTTTTTTTTTAAGATTTTATTTATTTATTTGACAGAGAGAGACACAGTGAGAGAGGGAACACAAGCAGGGGGAGTGGGAGAGGGAGAAGCAGGCTTCCCGCGGAGCGGGGAGCCGGGAGCCTGATGCGGAGCTCAATCCCAGGGCCCTGGGATCATGACCTGAGCCGAAGGCAGACGCTTAATGAATGAGCCAACCAGGCACCCCTGTCCAGAGGCTTCTAATCAGGCTCCTTATCAACAAAATTTCCTCGAAGCCCTCAGATGCTTTAAATTGAGAAGTGGTTCCAGAGCTGTTTTAATATTTCACCCCAGTCCTTATTACGAATCTATCTGCATGTACATCACTTCTTGGCCAAGTAATTAGGTTTAATTGAGTAATGACTCTTAATAAGGCATGGAGTCTTTGGTGGGTCTGGGCAGATTCACCAACACACTTGCTTACCTCTCACGACTCCTGCAAACAGAGAGGGAACAGGGAGCCTTACTGCTAAGTTCCTCTAAACCCCATTTATTCTGGGAAGGTTTCTGTGCCATTCTTGCTCCACCTTGTCCTTCTGGGCTCTTAGCGCTTTTTAAGACCACTATCCTATCCTCATGTTATACTGGCAGGGAATGTATCTTTCTTCCTATAAAGATTGTAGAGTGCCTTGATGGCAGGGACTATATTTTTCATTATATTACATTTTAAGTGCCTAGGAGAATTCCTGACACAGCCCACCTACCCCCCCCCCCCCCAAATCCTTTCCTTCTTTCTGACACTGCGCTAGGTACAGACTTTGAGATCAAGAAATAAAGTCCCATTTCTCAAAAATCTCTGAATTAGGGGCGCCTGGGTGGCTTAGTCAGTTAAGCATCTGACTCTTGGTTTCAGCTTAGGTCATGATCTCAGGGTCACAAGATCGAGCCCTACGTCTGGCTCTGTACTCAGCACAGAGTCTGCTTAAGATTTTTTTCCTCCTCCCTTTTCTTTTGCCCCTCCCCCTGTGCGTGCTCTCTCTCTCTCTCTCTCGCTAAAATAAATAAATAAATAAAATCTTTAAAAAATCACTGAATTATGTGGGGGACACAAGTAAGTAAAGAATACAGTAGAGGGCAATGAGTGTGTGGTAGGAATATGCCTAAGATGCTCTGGTGCTCAGCAGAGACTCCTACTGGGAATGGGAGGGGGAGAGTGGTTGGCCGGGAAGGCTCCCCAGAGGAGGTGATGGTTTGTGCTGAGTCCTACAGGCCAAGGAGGCATTCACCTGGTGGAGAAGATGGGATAGGATCATTCCAGGCAGCAGGTGTATGCACCTGGCAGCTAGAACCATGACTGCATTTGAGGGGTGATTACAGGTGTGTCAAGAAGAGGAGATAAGAGCTAACAGGGCCCACAAAGGCATGCCATTCTTAAATATTTATTGTCACCAAGGAAATACCAGTGATGAGATAGTCTTTGGTGCTGAGGCTGGAAGGTTAGGCTGTGGTTGGAGTATGAGACAACCTTGGATGCCAAGCTAACAGGTTAGTATTTCGTCTCATTAGCCATGAGGGCCTAATGAGAGCTCAGCCTCCTCTTGCCCTGAAATCTTGTCGCTTTATATTTAAATCCACTGATCAACAATCAAATGTATAAAGACATAATCTAATAGTCTATTTGAGCAAATTCATTGATTTTTTTTTAAATGGCTGTGAAGATGAGGGAATATATTCATTAAGAAGTAATGAATAAATCAGAAGACAAAAGGGGTAAAAGGAAACATAAAAGAGAGTGGCTTAGGGTTGAGCCGAGGGAAGAAGCGAAGAAAGACTTTCTCCAACACACACACTGGGCTCTGGTCTAGCAGCTGCCTGTACAGAAATGATTCTTGGCTTGGCAGTTCTTTAACCAAATTATTTATCTTCTGATGGAAGTTATATACTGTTTGCACTCTAGTCTTAGTTATTTTTTTTTTTAAAGATTATTTATTCATGAGAGACAGAGAGAGAGGCAGAGGGAGGAGCAGGCTCCCAAGGAGCAGGGAACCCGATGTGGGACTCGATCCCAGGACCCTGGGATCATGACCTGAGCCGAAGGCAGATGCTTAACCATCTGAGCCACCCAGGCGCCCAGTTATTTTTTAAAAAGAAGATAAGATAGATTGCAATTTTGTAAGTTTTGAAGAAATTGTTTTACATATGGAATTTACTATATATGTATGTACCTGTATGTGTGTTTTCTTGTTAGGTCAATGTGAACCAATTACGTTGGAACTCTGCATGAATTTACCCTACAACTATACAAATTATCCAAATTACCTTGGCCACAGGACTCAAAAGGAAGCATCCATCAGCTGGGAGTCTTCTCTTTTCCCTGCACTTGTTCAAACGAATTGTTACAAATACCTCATGTTCTTTGCTTGCACCATTTTGGTACCAAAGTGTGATGTGAACACAAGCCAGCGGATCCCACCTTGCAGGTAATACAATGAAGTCTCCCCCAAGCATCCTCATTTTCCCCTCAGGGAGAACCGAGGGATCGGAGACTCAGTTTGAGTTTAGACAAAGTCCATATTGCTAAGGAGCTCTGTATATAACAAATTATGTGTTAAAAAGGTAAAGAAGTAGGAATTCTAAAATGAATATTTGAGTTAGGATTCATTACTGGAGTACCACACAAGGGAGGTATGAACTGCCTTTGATAAATAGTTCACATACTTTTTTTTTTTTGAGATTTTATTTATTTATTTAATGGAGAGACAGAGAGGGCACAAGCAGGGGGAGCTGAAGGCGGAGGGAGAGGGAGAAGCAGGCTCCCTGCCAAGCAAGGAGCCCAATGTGGGACTTGATCCCAGGACACTGAGATCATGACCTGAGCCGAAGGCAGATGCTTAACCGACTGAGCCACCCAGGCGCCCCAGTAGGTCACATACTTTAATCAAATAAAATCACGTTTCACTTTGGTGGATCAAGAAGTGTTCTAAAATGTGAGTTAGGCGAAGAAGGGGTATATCTGCTTTTTTCTCTGGCAGCACTGATGTTTTAAAATGCTGACTTTTGATAGCACTCAGAAGTTAGAGACGTTACATAAGCCGTGGACTGCAGCTTGGACAAGGGATGGACATCGCTGACGTTTTTCTACCTGCTTAGATGAAATGAGGGCCAGCATTTCAAGCTTGCAGCTTGGATTTAGGATGAGAAATATCCTCCTTCAGGTTAAGAGTACTACTCTGGAGCCCACCGTCTGGTCCGAGTCCTGGCTCTTCTGTGACTGCTTTGTGGCCTGGGACAGATTTCTCAGTCCCTCTCAGTCTCAGTTCTTCTACTCTGTCTATAAAATTAAGACAGGGGACGCCTGGGTGGCTCAGTCGGTTAAGCGTCTGCCTTCGGCTCAGGTCATGATCTGGGGGTCCTGGGTTCGAACCCCACGTCGGGCTCCCTGCTCAGGGGGCAGTCTTCTCCTCCCTCTCCTTCTGCTGCTCCCCTGCTTGTGCTCTCTCTGTCGAATAAATAAATAAGATATTTAAAAATAAATAAATAAAAAATAAAATCAAGACCGTAACAGTGGTTGGGTTGAGTTGTTGGGAGGGTAAATGAGTGTGCATAAATGTCAAGGCTTCTGGCTGTAAGCTCAGTGCACAAGAGCACTGATGATAGGAGAGGAACACTACTGCTTAGTGGAAGTTTGGGCTCTTCTCTGCCACGTGTTGCAGTGTAGGCAGAGAATGTACAAGACAAGACAGCTGTCACAGAAGTGGGTAGCTGCAGTCTTTACGCTGTTTTCCATCAAGGGGTGAATATACAGATGTCCCTGTCTAAGTGTGAGCAGTAACTACGGGAACCATATGTTGGGATCAGAAGTCACTTGGAACTTTAAGAAAAAGCATTAATATTGATATAGTGGACAGACGGGGAAACAGTAAATTAAATACCAAATATCAAATGGATGACAAGGAAGGGGCATCTATAGAGGACAGGAAACAATAAAATTTCAAAATGAGTTGGGGAACTGAACAAATTATACAAACAGATTAAAAGTTAATGTTGCCTTGTGCAAACGTAATTCTGAAAACTTCTGTAAAATGCCTTTTAAAGTATCGCTAAGAAAGCATCTACTCATTTTATGTTGAAAAGTTATTTCTAAATTTTATTCCACTTTGGCTAAGCAAGGTCAAGGATAGTGAATAATAATTTGTTATAATACTTAACAAATGCTTGCATCGATTTTCTTTTCACATGTATAAAAAAATTTCCCTAACGGAGTATTCTCTGGAACAAATGTACATCTACGTATGATTTATAATTTCAGGGCTTATGTTTCACATTAAAATGCCCAAGATGAGACTGACCCTGAGACATTATTCAATCAACATTTTAGTGAACTTTCTTTAGATACTTTAGTTCTGTTTCTTCAGTTCACATGTACATCTTTCATTTTCAGTGGCTCTCAAAATGAGTTCTACATTTTGGGCGCCTGGGTGGCTCAGTCGGTTAAGCGACTGCCTTCAGCTCAGGTCATGATCCTGGAGTCCCGGGATCGAGTCCCGCATCGGGCTCCCTGCTCGGCGGGGGGTCTGCTTCTCCCTCTGACCCTCCCCCCTCTTGCGCTCTCTCTCTCACTCTCTCTCTCTCTAATAAATAAATTTAAAAAAAAATCTTTAAAAAAAATGAGTTCTACATTTTGATATTTGCTTATAAGAATTTTTTAAATACTCTGACAAGAATAATAATATACTCATGTGTTCATGAAGCAATGTTGCTTTTGCCATGCCTGTTTATGGGTCTTAACATTTAGTTTTTAAGTTATGAGTCTGAAAAATCTGGCACTGTTGAGCCCTTACAATGCGTTAAATATTTTAGGGTCGTGCTGCTGTCTTGCCCTCAAAGTATCCTTTTGAGGGAGGCCCCTCCCATCAGGGCTGTGCCCGTGACTGAATGCCGCATGGGTTAGGATAAGAACAGTGACCTCTGCCGTTGCCGTGCGGCACATTGTCTTATTTTTATCCTATTACCTCACTGTATTCTTTTCATGTATTACTGTATTATTTCCATTTTATAGAAAAAATAGGAAGTGGGAGAGTCAGGTGCTATACAGTGCTCTGTATAAATCAGGTGTCCTATGGCAAATTTAAAATTGCAGCAATTAAATTACACACATATTTTCCTAAATCTGCAACAAAACTATTCAGTCTAACAGAGAGTTATTGAACACTATTGAACATCCTGTTTTTGCAAAACTAATATGGGAACACCATGGCTTTGTCTTCGCCTGAGTTCTGAGGCTAAGCCAGCATCGAGTTATGCTCTGGCTTATGCAGACTTTTTTTTTTTAAACAAAGAGAGAGAGAGAGGGGCAAACCATAAGAGACTTTTTTTTTAAAGATTTTATTTATTTATTTGACACAGAGAGAGAGAGATAGCAAAAGAGGGAACACAAGCAGGGGGAGTGGGAAAGGGAAAAGCAAGCTTCCCACTGAGCAAGGAGCCCAATGTGGGGCTCAACCCCTGGACTCTGGGATTGTGACCTGAGCCAAAGGCAGACACTTAACAAGTGAGCCACCCAGGCTCCCCTCTATCTTATGCAGACTTCATGTAACTAGAGCTTTCTCTGAAACGTCCCCCATTCTATTGTTAACCTTTCCCTACCAGTTTCTAGCTAGACTGGAGCTGACCTTTCTGGAAGGGCTGCCCCATTTTATCGAGAGAGAGACAGACAGTGAACTTTGTTGAAATGAATAGCTTAAAGTTTAAAACTTTTGAAAATAAATAACGTATTTGAAAGGAAATAAAAAAAATTGTCTAGGAACTTATTTTGGTTAATTTCCTTTTTTTTTTTTAAACTACGTAGCTCATTTCTTGGTAATTTATGGAGGCAAAACCATTTTTCCCTCATAGGAAATAAAGAAATACACGTTGATATCTCACTTTAAAATATGCTTTGTGTAAATGAGATGACACACATGAAAGAAGGCACCTAGCACAATGTTTAGTCTATCTTTTCTTTATAAAAGGAACAAACACACTTTATTTTAACGAACTCGAGCTCAGTAGAGATGGGATTGGGAGAAGTACCAAACTTTTCAACACTACCGGTCTAAGCTGAAGTGATGATGGCCATGTCTTAGGTAAGTCAGGTTGGCACATGAAATAGCTCCCATGACTGGTCCCCAGAGGGAGAGACCTCTCAAGTGGATGATACTGTATAGACTCCATGACTCTTGGTGGCAGACTATCCAAACTGATGTTGAGAACTTCCTGGCTTGGAATAAAAGCATTGGGGAATGTGTCTGCTTGAAAGACAGAGAATGAGAAAGGTAAAGTGTAGAGGAGAATCTGTTTCCTGAATGTTGTTCAGGGGTGTAAACTTGCAATTAGTAGGTATAAAGGTCTTGGAGATCTTAGGCACCATAGGGTGAATACAGACAACAAGATTGTCTTATAATCATCGAACTTGCTAAGAGTCTAGATCTTAATTATTCCAACCACAAAAGAGAAATGATAATTATGCGATAGAGATTCTATCTCTACATGACAATCACATTATAATAGATAACTATCAAATCAACATGTCTCCCCCTTACATTTACATCGTGTTATATGTGAAATATATTCCAATAAAAACCACACACAACAAACTTCTATTTCTATTTCTGTAATGAAGTTTCTCTTAGTGAAAGTATGTCCTTTGGCATGCATGTCCTTTGTGGAGAGAGGTATTACTTACTTTGTTTTCCCAAATATCAATTATGTATCTGTGCATCTCTCTATATATTGGTATATACACACACTAGATACACACAGAGACCCACATTCACACAGAATTAAAACCCTACATATATTCCTAACATACTATCTCAGGTGTAGCTATTTCCGCCTCCCATGTTTTATCTTTCTTGCTCTCTTAGACCACTATGTGAGCACTCCAAAGAACACTGTGAGTCTGTGCTTGGGATCGTGGGCCTACAGTGGCCTGAAGACACAGATTGCAATCAGTTTCCAGAGGAAAATTCAGACAACCAAACCTGCCTAATGCCCGATGAAGCTGTGGAAGGTTAATTTTTAAATCAATTACTATGGGCTATCTAACATGGATGACTCTATCATCAGCTACCTTCTCAAGGTTCTCTGTTGTTAGTGTTCTTGTTGTGATCTAGTTGTCAATCAGGCTGCATGGGTGAGTGAATCTGTGAATTTGGTTACATTGCAAACCTTGGTGCTCATTTTAAAAATAAATTGCAGAGATGTATTTAATATTTCAGGTATTTATCTTATCCATACTCAACTCATAGAGCCCACTATATGTGCATGCTGCTTTTATACTAAGGGGTCCTAAGGGTAGTGGTGAGCATCAAGCCCTGGTTACTTCAAGCTGAAAGCATTTAGAGACCTTGGCAACATAGGATCATCAGGTAGAGAAATGGAATCAGGGACCTGCCCACCATGAGGGAAGGATTAGAACAGGAAACAATTTTGGCACATTAAGGGCAGCTGGGTAGTTAGAAGTCTTGGCTCCTTGGGCTACTTCAGGCTCTGGCGGTCCATTCAGTGGACATGGTTGTCCATTCGGGAAGGTAGTTAAATACTGGAAAGCCTAACGACACTAAACAGCTGACTGGAGAGATGATGCCAAGGATGAAGGAGAAAGATCCTGATAAGCAAATGGAGAGAGCCAACTTAACTTTGGTTGGTTCAGCTTTGCGGAAGACCATCGTATCTTCAAGAATAGCCCCTTGACAATAGCCCACACATAAATAGATAAATGAGCTGATGGCTCCAGGCTTTCTGTCTAAGGAAAATAACATGGCTCATTGCTTTGAACAGAATGCTCACCTAGTCACTTCAAGTGTGGCTCTGGACGGTGTGTTCTGGCTACCAGAAGATGTGATGGCCAGGCTGACTGTGACGATGACAGTGATGAAGAAAACTGTGGTATGTGTGAAATGACACTTTTCTTGAACATACAAGAATGCCTGGTTAGGATAAAGGACTGTATATAAAAATGTCAGCTGTTTACTTATGGTCATAAATGGTGATGAGGATTGAATGCTAATGCATTTACTTTTAATATTACCAAATGACAAGGTATGAAGCAATAGGTGTTTTTCCTGTTAACTCTGTTGATTTTCCCTAAGTTATACTTCTGTTTATAACCTTGATGATATATGTGCAAATCCTTAGTAAAACGAGAAGCACTTCACAAATGTAAGGGATTATTTTTATTATTAGAGATACAAAGCAGTTGTCACCTGTTTAAAGTCAGAACGATAGTGTCTTTGCATATGATTTCCATGTTGTTAAGTAGGCATCTAGATACACAAAGACAGAGTTCAGGCTCCAACATTCAAATTTAATTGGAATTCATTTTCATGCCCTCTCTGATTTTTGTCTCTGTCAGCAAAGGATAAAACTCTTTCCTACATTTCTGCACTGAGTTCCAAAATCACCAATGGAAAGGCCAGAAATGCCAATGGTAATTTGAGTGGAGCTAATTCCCATTTTATTTTCCGGCAAACCTCTGTACTTGTAACCTCAGAATGTGTCAGGGAATAGAAAACCGGCAATGCTCTTTACTAAGCAATATTCTGGAATAAAGCAAAATGATTGAAAGGCTATCCAAAGAATAGTTTGGTTATGATCATTTACCTTGTTCTGCTTATAAATGAGTTGACACTCTTTGTCTTTAAAAGCACAAAGAGCAATACATCTTTTGAAATAGTTTTATTCTTTTGGCCTTTGAGGTATGAAATATTTCCTTGCTTCCCAAAATGAATTTTCCGTAGTAGACATTGCCCTTCTGGTCTAGACAAAATGTCACAAGCAATAAACCAAAATCCTATCAGTTGCTATAAATATGGACAAGAGCATCCTCTAGAAAATTAGACCTGTCAGAATGATGGTACAATGGCCAGGGGTAATTTTGTTAGAGAAGAACATCCAGTGTTTTGAGAAGGTACTGTTGTTTGCTTGTTTGTGGTCTTTATGTAGAGAAATAAATCCACTCATTGAATATTCCTATATAAATGACTTACTGAGAATCTATTGGATTTGTTTGCTAAACTATGACTGCAATGGATTATGGTATTCTGAGATGCAATTTAAAATGGATTATCTTTGATAGTTTAAAGAGATTACATGGTACTCTACTGGGCTGGCGAGGCCTAAATCTGTATGTAGTAGGGGACTAAATATTTGAGAAATGTAAAAACTTAGTTTTAAATGGTCTGAGTCTTTGAATATATTCTGCAAAAAGAAATGCAAAGCACTATAGGGTTTAAATGATCCTACATTGTCAGGTTTCTAGGTGAGCCGTTGAGTTTTTATCAAGACTTTATTCACGCAATTAAAGGTACAGCAGAATGATAGAGTCAGTGGTCTAATCCCTATCAACACTCAATATATTGGTGGCACTACTGAGAGAGAGCTCTAGTGAAGGAAAGTGAAGAGTGGGAGAGAAATTAATTCATTTGGAGTTACATTAATTGCTCCAACAGTGTTCACTTATGAGAAAACTCTCATTAAGTTTTTCAAAGTGACTGATGATAGAAATTTTACATATATTTACCTTTGGGATATATGCACACATTTGAATGGGCATGTCCAGTGGTCTGGGAGAATGAGACACTTAAAAAGCAAATGAAGAAGTCACGCTGAAGAGGGCCTAACGAAGGACTATTGGGAAATCATCCAGTTCCCACTTGTCATTTTCTCAGTTGTCCCTCTATTCCCATGGGCATGCGTGGTACCATCTGGTGATGCGAACACCAGCCCCACGGAAGCTGAGTTTCAGCCCAAGCTTCACATGTTTCTGATTTATTCTGTCCACTGTGGAGTTTAATGCATTTAAAGGCTTGGGCTTTACTGAATAATGTGATAATTAACTATTCAGTCTGACACACTGCAGATCCTCCAGAACTTCTAAAAATAGTATGGGGTTTTCCTCTTAAAAACAATACTTGTTTCATTTATCTATAAAATAATTGACATGTTGGAAATTTATTTTGTATTTCTTTGGCAAATCTGCAGGAGGAAAACATGGTAGCCCAAGCACACCGTTTATAAATATGCTTTTAAGATACAGATTTCCCCTGCTATCCGAAAGTAGAGCATTCCGATGAAAACTTTCACAAGCCAAAATTATGTAAAGTGAAGAAGCAATTACCATTATGTGGTAATGTGGAAAAAATTTTGACTGTTTCCAGGCCCTAAAAATATCCTTCCTTAGGCTTTTCTAAAGCTACCACACATCTTGCTAATGGATGTACAAAATAAATCGAGATAAAGCAGAGTTGCCCACAAAGGTCAAAACTATGGTGGCTTGATGCTGAGATGCTGAGTGTAGTTCCCCGGGAAGGCGCCTGGGGGCGCTACTCGCTGCTCCGGGTGCACGCTGCCTGTGTAAAGCCTCACTGCCAAGCAAATGCTGAAGCTATTTTCCTTCTTCGCTGTTTTTCGTAAAAGCGAAAAGCTTCTTTGGCTTTCATTCGGTTAGAGAAAATAGTTACTAACGTAGGTCTTCCGTAAAAGCGAAGTGGCATGATGCGAACTTTCGAAAAGTGGGGAATACCTGTATATGCATTAGCCTTTAGCAATGGGCAATGTTGCTCTGAAGGGTCTCCTGCTTTTGTGGTACATTTTTGTTGTTGAGGTGGTTTTGATGGTGTGATCGCTAACGTAAACAACCGCTGAAAACACTGTCGGTGTTTTTAGAGATGTTTTCGGCAAGTATTTGGAAGAATTATACAAACTGGAACACATCGTTCCAGCATCGCTTCATGGGAGGGAAGCCTTGAAAAATGGGAGCAATTTACAGAGTCACCGCTGTGTCAGGACAGAAGCACTTTGTCGTCTTAGAAAAGGTTGATGGCTTATCATTCATTGAACGTATATGCTCTATGGATGGAGCTGTGTGTAAAACTAGCAACCTGATGACAAGTTGATTTTCAGCGTAACATTTTCCAAGCACTGATACCTAAGCAGTGAAGGAAAAGGTGAAGATCCGGTCAAAGACGTGAACAGGAATGGCATCAAAGAAAGGACAGCTGAGGGAAATAACAATGGGTTATGTAGAGAAATAAATCCACTCATTGAATATTCTTTGCCTTCATGAAGAGATTTGAGTTGGTGAGACTGAGGTTCGATTTTGCTCGGCCGGTGTCCACGATTTGGGTGGGCTACCAGCAGAAGCAAGGTGGAACCTGGGCCGTGGTGTGAGCAGCGAGTCTTCTAATGGGGGCAGTTAAAGGAGAATATAGTGAAGACAGTTTCATTATATTTACTAGAGAAATAAGACCCTTTATTACACAAACACAGCATCACAATTACTCATTGATCACTACTCTATATAAAAGGGTATACACCATATGGAGAAAGATAGACAACAGTACAAATCCCCAAGTGTCATTAGGTGCCTTTCTGTTTATCCTCAAATGATTAAAAATCATTTCATCCTCTATCTTTGATCTCCTCTAAGGCTCCAGTAAAATAAAATCTTTAAATATAACCTTTTCTTGGGATCAAAGCACCTTTAGGCTATGTTCAAAGCCTCTGACTCTGATATTTGTGGGCTGTACAGCTTGATTTTAAAAGTTTTCCAAAAGACCTTTTTTTCTATCCATTTGGACCCTTAAAAGTATTTGTACAACTTCTCACAGAGGATGGCTTACCTGGCATTTTTAGCCAATAGTAGTCTCCATGCCTAGATTTCTCTTTGCTTGTGGAAAACCCTGACTTTGCTCTGACTAGTCCATATCATGTCAGATACCCACAAATGTGCTTTCGGGATGAATCTTCGGGATGGATCTCTAATCACTCAGTAGGGTTTAATTTTTCCATGTTAAGGAAGGGACATTCTCCTTCCCTTGAGGTATTTTGCTACTCGGTTAATTGCTTTGCTGTCTTATTTGGCATCTTGGGCAGGCAGCCTGAAATGGCAGGGAGGGCTCTGTGTAGACCTAGCCTTGGATTTAAATCTCAACTCAGCACGCAGAGGCTGTGTGACTTTTGGCCAGTCACTTACTCTGGGCCTCAGTTTTCTCACCTATAAAATGTAGAGAACACCCAGTTTATCTTCCCAAGCTTGGAATGCTTATAACAGGCTTTATTCATTCCTCAGAAGGCAATAACTAAGCACCCATCTGCCACAGTGCTAGGATATCCAGGAAACGACTCCCCTCAAAGGTCACCCAGGGGTCTCCCTGGGGGGGAGGAGTCCTCTCTTGCTTGATCTGGTCTCTGGCAGACCAAGGCCTTGGGTTTGGCAGAAGAGAGCAGGCTGGCCTGTCGTGTCCAAAACAAGAGCCGGGCAGAATCCCTGGTTCACGTAGTAGACACAGGCAGCCGGGTGGTGTTTCATCCTGAAGGTAGTGCTTATCTGGGGGTACAGGTCCCCATCTCCGGGATTAGTCATCAAAGGGGGCCCCCAGCCTGTAGTTTAAAGCCCTTTCCACCACCCCATCCTGCCTCCTCATTGGGTCCTAGGCCGGCGCATGCTGAAGAGGATGATATGGGGATGTCACCCCTAAACAGGGGAGGAGTGGGGAGGGGCTGCTGAGGAATTGGGAGCCCTGTGGTCTGTACTGGTGTTGCTGCCCCTGACGGTCAGGCCTGAGACGGGTGGGGAGGCAGGTCCTCTGTTGGGGCTGCTGTAGGTCTGCTGCTGATCCTTGAGATTGGGGCTCCATCTCCCAGGGTTGCATGCTCTGGAGGGGCCTTCCCACCCGCTAGGCCTGAGCCTCGCTGCTGCAGCTCCTGTCGTGCACCCAAGACGGCTAGATCCAGACCGTTCCAGCCTCAGCCAGTCCAGGACCCAGATTCATCTTGCCCCTTGCTCTTCTGGCCTGTTCCTCCCTGAAGATACTTTTTATTTCATGAAGCTCAAATTAGCAGACCTAATGAGCATACCTCCTCACCCGGTATTTGCCTGAGAGATTTTTCCAGGACAAGAAGCATCAGCTTTAGGATGGTTTGCTGCCTTTACCTATGATGACAACTTTTTTGGTAGAGAAAAAAGGGTGCCCCAGCTCAGGTGGGACCTGCCTCTGGTCGGGGGAGGCTGAGGGATGGTGTACATGAAGAACCCAGCACGAAGCTTAGCACACTTAGTGTGAAGCAGCATCTGGTTTGTCTGGGATGCAGGTGGTTCATGGAATGAGGGACAGTTATTGCTGAGAACAGGCAGGTCCTGGGCAAGCTGGGGTGACAACACCGTGGGTGTTGTCTTTATCTCTGTGCTGGGGTGGTTGTGATTCTGACTTCAACAGTTATTTGGTTTCATAAGCGCAGCTGTGTGAAACACCCCACCCCCTTCATACTTGTCTTTAATTTTTAGTGGAGTCATACTCTTTTCATTTTAAAGCATACATTTAAAACAGAATTACACCAAAGATGTCACTTTAAAGGGACAGTTTATTTATTCCTTCACATAATAATAATGCTACCTTCCATGTGACTAATGTCTTGACCTCTTCATCTTACTTCATTTATGTTCACCCTAACTCCACAGAAGAGGTATTAGGACACATGAATTTTTATTAGAAAAGAGAAGATCCAGGAGGGTAAGTTAATGCTTGTAGAGGACTCATTTAATCTGTAGAGCAACCCTATGTAGCAAGCATTATTATTACTATTTTAGAGCTATGGAAACTGAGGTTCAGAGAAGTTAAGTAACTATCCAAGGTTGCACAGCTAGTGAAATCAGAGCTAGGATTCAAATTCAGGTATCTGACTCTAATGCTGTCCTTCCCTTGCTTTCTACCCCTCATGCACATGGTTCATTCTCATTTTACAGAGGACTGCAGCTAAGGACTTGCACCTGGACCCCAACTGTGATTTGGAAACATTTATTTATTTTCTCTAAATCTCAGTTTCCTCACTTATAAAATACTGATCATAATACTGACATTGTGGTATTATTATAAGAATTAAAACTAATTTATAATGTGGATACATAGTGGATAGTGAATATTATCTTACTATTATTATTATTACTGAGGATGCAGGTCTTACTTATGTCCCAGAAAATCTACTTTTATGGTTTTTCATCAGCTCATTCCAAAGGTCCAAGTTCTCCAGATTTTAGGAAGGGTAGCACGTGAATAATCAGAAAGACTCATGTTGTTTTCTCTCATTCTTTACTAACAAGTGGTATGGTTTGTGACAAGACTGTTAACTGATGTCTGTATCTGCTGCTAGATGAGACTCCAGATAATATCCCCATGAGTTCCTGGAATAGATATCTCTGGGCCTAAGACCATTCCAGATGTACAGCTAGTGAAACACTCTCACTGTTTATTTCCTATATTTTTGAATGGTGAAACACTTTCAATCTAATTTTAGCTCATAATAAAAATTTCTAGTGACCTATTTTGATAACTCTTTTCTTTTTTTAATTTTTTTTAAAGATTTTATTTATTTATTTGACAGAGAGAGACACAGCGAGAGAGGGAACACAAGCAGGGGGGGTAGGAGAGGGAGAAGCAGGCTTCCCGCCGAGCAGGGAGCCCGATGCGGGGCTTGATCCCAGGACCCCAGGATCACGACCTGAGCCGAAGGCAGATGCTTAACGACTGAGCCACTCAGGCGCCCTTGATAACAATTTTCAGTGAGAATTTTGAAAAAAGCAGATTTTTTCTTATAACGGGTTCCAAGAAACATGAGTCAATCATCTACAAAATTTCTCTGAATTATTTGTAGTAGGTCAAATAGGAAATAGCATTTTTAAAGAAATACCTTATTTGATCACTGCTTTGCATTTCACTCACCTTAAACTGAATGATACTTTCCCGGAAAGGGAAGAGACTTTTGGTTCCTTACATGAAAGGAAGTTCCATTTAAAATACATGTGTGTTGAAGGCCTGTCAAGTGCTAGCCGCTGTTGTAGCATGGGGGGAGGGGAAAGGAACCCAAAGATGAATGCCGTGGGGACTCTTCTTCATGCACCTCGCAGCCTGGTAAGGACATGGATCCCACTGGAGTGACGAGAACACATTAGACTCTTGGCATGTTTTAGCAGATGTGTGAAATGCACTGCATTTGATTCAAATGGCATTTTTAAGTTCATTGCAAGTTCTTGCTATTTCATAGGCAAATTACAGTTCAAGCTTATAGTCCTGATCTCGTGCAAATTACGTTCATTTCTCATATTAGTTGATGAAGTTGATCTTCTCAGATCTCTTAGACTATGTTACTGAAGTGACAGCTTTTGTACCTGGCTCTTAAATTAGTTTTGTAGGTATTTGGCAGAGGAGACACCTCTTAGTAAACACACAGATGGCCTTTCCATTTGTTGACTGAAATTACATTTTAAGGTAATATGCATTTAAATCACTAGGTTTTGGCATATTTACTTAAAAGCATAACTTATCATTTTATAGATGAGTCTTATATGTTAGCAAATTGACTCAGAAAGCAAAAGGAACAGCTAAAAATGAGCATTAATGTATAGTTACTTTTTCATTTTTTCCCCATTTCCCATATGTCACTTGATCTTCTCTTAGGAGAGCTGTCCTATTTATATGGCAGTATGGAGATTATTGAGTATTTCTACTCTCAAAATTACCTTTTTCATAGTATACAGAAGTCAAGACTTTTTAGGAAGAAAGAAATCATGCCTTTGTGCTATAATTTTTCTACATTGCTTGATCAAATTCATCATTATTTTGATGTCTATGTCTATTGCAAATAACCTTTTCTTCTGTCTCTAGGCTGTAAAGAGAGAGATCTTTGGGAATGTCCATCCAATAAACAATGTTTGAAGCATACAGTCATCTGTGATGGGTTCCCAGACTGTCCTGATGGCATGGATGAGAAGAACTGTTGTAAGTGCCTACCTGCATTGCTCAACACAACTTTGTTTATGTTAAACACGGATTAGGGCTCATTTTGAATATAAACTAGAAATTTGGAAATATGTATCAAAAGCTTGTAGTATGTTCAGATCTTTTGACCGAAACTCCACTTACAAAAATACATGCAAGGACATAACCAAATGTATGTAAATTACATGCATGGTGATATTATTCTAGCATTATTTATCACATGCAAAAATTAAAACACCCCAAATATCCAAAATGAGGGGACATAAAATACAACCATAAAATTAAATAATATACAAACGTTAAAAATCAAATTAAAAGAATAATTCCTCCTGGGTTCATTAAATGTCATTAGTTGAATGAAACAAAATATAAAATATTATGTGCACTATTGTCCTAAGTTTTTAAAGTACATATAACCATGCATAGAAAAAGATCAGAAGGTCACAAGAAACAGTTTACAATGATTATCTCTGGGTGGTGGGATTGTTAAATTTTTGTGCTTTTCTGTCTTTCCTACATTTTCTAAATGAATGACCACCACTTTTAGAACCCCCCCAAAAAATTATCTATCAAGATATTTTATCTTTTAGTAACAGAAAGCCCAACTCAGACTGACTTAACCAGTGAAAACATTTATTATATTTTATTACCATATGTATCAGATATGTCTTGTATTATCATATTTTAAAGTCAAGTGAAGGATGGATTCTTGAAGCTAGATGTGGGAGTTCAGCACCTCTTCTGTGATTCTTTTAGTTCAGCTTGACTTCACGCTGGTTCTACGAGGGTCAAAAGATGGCTGCCAAGAGCACCTGCGGTGCTGTGCTTCCTTGATCATATCCAGTGGGAGGGAGTGATGATCTCGCCCTCATGTCTGGACTATCACTTAAGGATTCACTCAGATTGGCCAGGTTTGAGCAAGGTTCCGGCTAGCCTTCAGGGATCTTTGTATGGATTAGAAAAGATAACCACATAAATAGCTCAATCACAAAAAGAAGCACCCCTTAGGGAGAACCAATTAGAAAAGATGCTGTTTCCTTCAGGCTGCCCCTGTCCTAGGCTAGGATGCATGATCTGGCCAACAGGGTTTGGGTGGGAACTATCTTGGAAGGCACAACCCATGAAATGGTAGGCCAAAACTCTGATTTTGGGTCACATGTTTACTGTTGGACTAATAACTTCACCCAGAAAAGAAAAATAGTTGTGGTTAGAAAATGCTTTGTCTGAATGACACTAATCAGGGTCTTCTGGGACTGTGGGGACCTGAACAAAATCAGGTCCCCTTAAAAAAGGAGAAAGAAAGGAGATGGATGTTAGGTAGGCAATTAAAGAGTGTCGCTATAATTTCTTTTTTCTTTTTTTTTTTTTAAAAGATTTATTTATTTGAGAGAGAGAGAACAAGCGGGTAAGGGGCAGAAGGAGAAGAGAGAGGAAGAGAATTTTAAGCTGACTCCCCACTGAGAATGGAGCCAGACACAGGGCTCAATCTCATGAACCCTAGATTATGACTGAGCTGAAATCAAGAGTTAGATGCTTAACCAACTGAGCCACCCAGGCGCTCTGATAGTAGAGATTTTAATTTTTTATTTTATTAAAGATTTTATTTATTTATTTGACAGAGAGAGAGAGAACACAAGTAGGCAGAGTGGCAGGCAGAGGGAGAGGGAGAAGCAGGCTCTCCGCCGAGCAGGGAGCCAGATGTGGGGCTTGATCCCAAGACCCCAGGATCATGACCTGAGCCAAAGGCAGCCGCCCAACCGACTGAGCCACCCAGGCGCCCCAGTAGAGATTTTTAAAGAATAAACATTATCCGTATATGTGGACAGAGCTTGTTTCCATCCTGTGGTTTCTTCATTCTGCTCAGCCCCAGTGCTTGGCTCAGGCCACTCCAGACTTCAATCCCATTCTCTCAATTCCTGGAATTTCTGCTGCTCTGGGTACCACTTTTTCAAGCCTAGTGTTAGAACTAGACAATGCAGTCACTTGGAGATGGTAGCATTGTTTAAATGCTTGCTATTTGACTGGATTGGCATCTGTGGTATGAGTTTTTACCAATTCTGTTATTCTGTCTTGATACCTGTTCGGAGGCCCCAGTGACCACAGCTTTCCTACCTTACACGCTCCTGGGACAGATGATAATGTGCATCTTAGTGAGACTCACACTCGTTTCTGAAATGTTTCCGTCTTCTTGCTTCTTGTTCCGGTGCCAGCATTTTGCCAGGATGACGAACTCGAATGTGCAAACCATGAGTGTGTGTCCCGTGAGCGCTGGTGTGATGGGGAAGCCGACTGCTTGGACAGTTCTGACGAGTGGGACTGTGGTGAGCTGCGTGTTTCCGCCGTCGGCTGCATGCTCTAACACTCGTCAGCCATTGAAGCTTGATAAAGCCTAGATGACTTCACAGAGTTTACTGACCAGTTTCACCTGTTTTGTTTAGTGATGATAAAAGCTGGTGGTAGATTAACATAACATAATAAAATTAAATTTAAAAAAAAGAAAAAAGAAAAAAACACACGCCAAGGCTTAAATGTGTGTAAAATGTTATGGAGTCAATTATAAGCCTTATGTAAGTTACATTTGGAATAAAAGTTTTTATTACACTGGTGTAAAAAAAAAACAAAACCTGGCAGTAGTGATTCATATATGTTGTTTCCAACTCACAGAACATCTCCCCCTAAATTATCTTGCTGTTTGAAATGTCTATGTGATATGTAAAAACATTTGGGTTCAAATTGTTATGACCATGTGACTACTAGAATACAATTTTTAAATTCTTTTTTATCACCCAGCTTCAACAATTACCAATATTCTGTCATTCTTATATCATTGACACCTCCTAGAATAGGGTATTAAAGTGGATCTTCCATCTTCCCTGTAGTCTTGCACCAGATCCAAATGAGACGACTATCTATCTAGTTCCTCACATGGACAAGACTTAAAAGTACCTCCCACCAGACCTCCAGTGTTACAATTTGTAAACTTGAGTTTGATTAATTCTATTTTCTATTTCTATTTCATTTTTTCAGTCTCCCACCACACTGAGAGCAGTGCTTTGCAGAGGGCAAGCATTCACCAAATGGTTCTTAATTAAAATAAATAAAAACAAATGTATGCAAGTGAAGCGAAAGCATGTAGAGTCAGCATTTGGTTTCCTGAGGAGAAATGTTTCTAATTAGGATTTTCCTTTTTTTTTTTTTTTTTGTTCTCCTCAGTGACCCTCTCTAAAAATGTGAGCTCCTCTGCGTTCCTGACGGCTCACAGATCTGCCATAGAATACCACGTGTGTGCGGATGGCTGGCAGGAGACGTTAAGTCAGCTGGCCTGCAAGCAGATGGGTTTAGGGTAAGGTCAGTAGTTTGTAGCACTGACGAATTTCTCAGAGGGCTTCGCGGAAGTTGGCAATAATATCTTCCTTCTGAATGCAGAGTGAGTTAGTGCTCTCCAGTAGAGCCCTTCAAAGCATGGGAAATGAATCAGGTGAGAGCACCGCATTTAATTACAGGCACCTGCTTTGAAGAGACTGGGTGAAAACCTCCTTTGATAAAGCCTCCCGCTACAAGTAAATGGAAGTAATTGTATTTTAAGTACTTCTGAAAGGAAATGCTTTTGGGATTTGTAAAAGCACGAAGATGGTTTCTTCCTAGCAACTTGGATGGGAAAATCTTGAGATTTTTCTCCCAAGAGGTTATTGAAAATTCCTTTTTAAGCAACACACATTTTTTTTTAAAAGATTTTTTTTTTAATTTATTTATTAGAGAGAGAGAGAGTGAGAGAGAGAGCGCAAGAGGGGGAAGGGTTAGAGGGAGAAGCAGACTCCCCGCCGAGCAGGGAGCCCGATGCGGGACTCGATCCCGGGACTCCAGGATCATGACCTGAGCCGAAGGCAGTTGCTTAACCAACTGAGCCACCCAGGTGCCCAACACACATTTTTTAATAAGTTGAGAAATAGGACTTAAAGTTGATGGTATTTCAGTTTACCCTAAGTAATTCAGGAAATGTTAATCAGGAAATAGTTGACCATTTTTGCTCCTTAGTAGAATGAAAAGACACTAACTCTGGCTTTGATACAAACAGACTGAAATCGATATTTTGAAAGTTGGATACTTGCTATTTTGTGGGGTTTTCTTTTTCAGTTCTATTGGTGATGAAAAGCAGTAATTGAGGGTCTTAGATGTATATGTGAGTGTGTGTATTCACATATTTTTTTTCTTTTCAACTACTGATGTATGTGAGATTTGGGGGGGAAATGTTAAAATGATAGGAATCAAAGATAAAGGAGTTTTAAAATTCTAGAGTAAAAAAAAATTGAGTAAATGTCATTTCCCAGGATTCCACTGGACAAACTTGAAATAATTTTACAATAATGAGTGATCCAATTCTGGGATAGCAACTAGCAGCACATTTTTGTTCTCCCCGTTTGAAAAATGTCCTAAATCCCAGTATCTTCAGCCCATTTTTCCCATTTAAAGTCCTACATCTTTGGAAAGTTGAGTAACTGGTGCTAATCTGTAAGAAAAGAGCTTTCAAATTTGCCAGAGTGGAAAAATGATATTTACCAAGATCCATTAAATTATACTTCATTTTCACAACATCCTTATGGTGTCTAAATGAAATGGATGTGATTATGATGAGAGATAAATGAAAAGTCTTTTGAATGAGCTTTATTTTCCTCTCACCAAGACACAGGTTATTTCTTATTATGAAAACTTAATTACATAATGATTGAAAATTCTACTGAGAGTTCTGAGGGAAAGTTGCAACCACAAAGATTTTGCCAGCAGAAAAATTCTTTTGACAAGTCACCCTGTTCTACTGCAAATAGGAGGGAAGGGATCTTATTTTAAATGTTCTCCTTGATATTACTTTGATTTTTTTTTTTTGCATATTGGATTTACATTTTTTATTGTAATGAAATATACATAACAGAAAAACTCAGCATCTTAACCAGTGCAAATTCCATGGCATTTAGTATATACACAGAGCTGTGCAACCATCTCCATTATCTGGCTTCTTTCACTTAGCACAATGTTTTCATGCAACTATGGATCAGCTCCTGTTTATGGCTGAAAAAGATTCCATTGCATGGATACACCACATTTTTAAATCTGTTCATCCAATCATGGACACTTGTATGGTTTCCAGCTTTGGCTATTCTATGTGTATTGGATTTTTAGAAAGATTCTTACTCTATTTGCTCCATTTCCTTACAATAGTGGGAAAATGTTATTTTAATATATTAGACATTTAAAATCTAAAAGGACATTTAGATTTTATTTATTTATTATTATTATTTTTAAAAGATTTTATTCATTTATTTGACAGAGAGAGAGACAACGAGAGAGGGAACACAAGCAGGGGAGTGGGAGAGGGAGAAGCAGGCTTCCCACTGAGTGGGGAGCCCGATGTGGGGCTCGATTCCAGGACCCTGGGATCATGACCTGAGCCGAAGGCAAGCGCTTAATGACTGAACCACCCAGGCCCCCCCAGATATTTTTTAAAGATAACTTTATTTCACAGAAAGGCTAGGAAAATCTGAGAGAGCAGTGTGGCTGGAAAACCATAATTATTTGACTGAGTTAATGTGTAAGTAGTGATATGTCTTCCAAGGAAATGAGTAGGAAGGGTAATCTTAGTATTTTTGTACTTTTTGATTGCCTTCAAGTTTACTCTTCAGTTTACTTGGGTGGCTCATGAATTGACAGAAGTCTGGAGAGCCAGGCTGGGGCAGGAACCAAGATAAGGGGCAAGATGAGGCCATTAATTTCTGCAGTAGGAATCTGCTCTGTTACCACTGTCCCTGGAGATCAGCTGCTGTGCTGCAATTTCACAATTCTGCCACTGACGCCTCAAACTCTAAGTAACCCTGTACCTTGAGTCATTTCCTCCAGATTCAAAGTCCTTACAGAAGAGTCTGTCTGGCCATGACTTGTCATTGACCTACACTCCAGCTGCCAGAGGGAGGGTAAAGGGAATAGCTGTCTCCCTTAGCTTCTGGAGTGGAGTGCCTGCTTTGTACCTTCAAACATACTCCACATCAGAAACTTGAAGTTTAAAACACAAGCCCAACTAGTTCTATTCAGTATCTCTTTCCTGTTGGTTTTTTAAGTATCTGCTGATGGGTCTTGACCTGGAGTAGGCATTGTGTGGAGGATGCAAAGGTAAATAACGTCATCCAAGAGCTTATAATGTAGTGGGGAAACAACCTAGAAACACATGAGGAAACAACCTAGAACATAAAGTTGGAAAAAACTTCCAGACTTTTTGTCAATGGTTTATGTAGGGCATAGCACATGACCTACCAATTAAAAGTATATAAGAAAAATATTCAGCTCTAATATTATTGTGATAGTATAATATACATTTATTAAGTCATTCATTTATTAATTCAGTAAACATTTATAGAGAAAAGCATTGTACTGTAGTGTCCAAAACTAATATACTTTAACTCTAAATGGGGGGAGGGCCCATTTTGGAGCTAGTTCATCAAAAATGCAGGTCTACACTGAATTACGTGTTTTGCAGGGCTTCTATTGAAATGCTTTCCTGATAGGGGCAGTCAATTAAAAAACACCTGCCCTTGGAGTTGTTCAGACCCAAATTATGCCTTCCAGGTCTAACAGCACAAACGCTCAGCTCTCAACTAAGTGCTTGCCCAAATGGGAAGATTGAGGGTTCTTTGCTGAATCTGAAAAACTTGTTACCCCCATCTGCAGATATTTTGAGTTTACCCCAGCCTGGAACTATGATAACTATTTGATTAGACAAGGATATAAATCAACCCCTAAGTTCTCATGACAGTATATTGACTTTGCTACCTATATGTCCAGTATTAAAAACATATGGACATTTATTTAATCAACAATACAAATCAGAATTTAGACTGCCCTCTAATACTTGCCAAATGCTCAGTTGAGACATCTGGTATTTGAGGAAGTTGGTCTAAGGGAATGTGATTCTTTAAGTCTCTTGGCTTCATAAACTTTATCTCTATATAAAACTGGATCATCTGGAAATAGGCTATTCTATTTTGACAAAAATTCCTTAATGGGGTTAGTTGCAATTTGATTTTATGCCCTAATCTTTTAGAGTTGATCAATAGAAGCAACATCGTCCAAAGAATGTTTCTTTGTCTTGGGCAAAACCACAGATAGCCTCAAATTATATTACCTAAGAGTCCCTGATGGAAGAATTTACGTTGGATTTTTTTTTTTTCCTAAAGTGTACTCCCAGGAAAATGCTTCTAACTTCAGATTTCATTTGTCATGTAGGGATGGTTTACTTATTGATGGACTTCCATGAAGCTCTAAGACAGACTAATCCTCTGTACTAGTAAATCTAGCTCAGGTGGCTGGTCCTGTGCATGTAAACCATAGAAAAGAAGCTCAAAATCTTATGGCCTTTTTTTTTTTTTATTGCAATGTAATTCACATAGCATAAAATTCACTCTTTAAAAGTGTACAATTCAGTTGTTTTTAATATATTCACAATGTTGTGCAGTCATTACTACTGTCTAATTCCTTAACATTTTCAACTTGGAAAAGAAACCCCATGCCTCTTCGCAATCCCTCCCATTTATCCTCCCCAAGCCTCTGACAAACACTAATTTACTTTCTGTTTCTAGGGACTTACCCATTATACACATTTCATAAAAACAGGATTGTATAACTATATACTCTTTTTGTCTGGTTTCTTTCACTTAGCATAATGTTTTCAAGGTTCATCCATGTTTTAGTATATATCAATGCTTCATTCCTGTTTTTGGCTGAATATCCCATTGTGTAGGTATATCCACACTTTGATTATCCATTTATCAATTAATGGATAGTTGAGTTGTTTCCATTTTTTTGGCTCTTATGAAAATGTTGCTAAGAACATTCATGTAAAGTTTTTTTGTGAAAATATGTTTTCAGTTTCTCTTGGGTATATTCTTAGGACTAGAATTACTAGGTCAAATTTTTAATTTTTTGAGGTACTGCCAAACTGTTTTCCAAAAGGGCTACACCAGCAATGCATGAAGGTTCCAATTTCTCCATATCCTTGTCAACACTTGTTATTATTCATTTTTTATTATAGTCATTATCTGACTAAAAGAGATCGTTCTGGTTGTTATTGAGAATATGCTATAGGAAGGCAAGGGTAGGAGCAGGAATACTAGTTAGGAGGCCATCGAATAATCCAGGTGAGACATTTTGGTGACTCAGATCAGAATGGTAGCAGAGAACATGGTTAAAAGTGATTCGATCTGGAATATATTTTAAAAGTAGAGCCAATAGGACTTCCTGACAGATTGGATGTTAATTGGGGATTGAGAAGCGTCAAGAAAGAGAAGAGTCAAGAATGAC